ATCTTTCCTAATATTCGCGTTTTTAGCACGGACTTCATTGGGAAATTGTAAAAAGTACGAATTACCCCCCTGAACCACAAAACCGGACATTCTTCACCCCCAACTATGCAAACCGGATGAATTACCCCCCCTGACCCAATCCGCGGTGGTTTTGGTCTACGTGGTGTACGCGTGGCGGTCCAGTCAGTATTTTATTTATTAAAAAAATATAGGACCCACCTATCATACTCCTATACCACTATTCCCATCTCTCTCTTCTTTCTCTCTCTTCCTCTCTCTCTTTTCTCACTCTCTATCTCACACGCGCACGGTGGCAGGCGGGGGAGCGGCGGCGGTGGCGGCGGCGGGGTGCGGCGGAGGAGGCAAGGCGAGCGGCGGCAGCGGAGGAGGAGGCAAGGCGGCAGCGGCGAGCGGCGGGGGATGAAGCAGCGAACGGCGGCGGGGTGCGGCGGAGGGGGCGAGGCGAGGCTGCGGCGACAGCGGAGGAGGCGAGGGGCGGCGGGAGCTCACACTGCTCGAGGCGAGGCGAGGTGAGCGGCAACGGGGTGCGGCGGAGGAGGTGAGCGTGACGGTGGAGGAGGCGAGCGCGGCAGTGGAGGAGGCGAGGCGGCGGCGGCAGTTGGCCGGGGGGGGCGGTGACAGACGACGACGCGCGGCGCGGGCGGGGCTAGAGTGGAGATGGCGACGGCGCGCGGGCGGCGGGGTTGAGATGCCGCGGACAGGGCAACCGACACCCTTCGTTGTTTTTTATAGTGATACCTAAGTCATACTCCCACCTTTTAGTCATGATATCAACTCATGCTTGAGATTCTTGTCCTATATATAAGAAGAGAGAAATTTTAAGATTCTCTCTTTGTTACGTGGTCATGAGTAGATGTGTATACTTTGTTCGAGTTTTCCATCTTGTGATCATGAGTTTGATGTATATAGTGACTTATTTGTTTTTTTATCAATTCCTTGCCCTTTAGCTCTGTTGATTGGTACTCTAGCTTTCTCAGTTGTGAAGGGACGTTTTAGAAACGTGGTGGCAAAGAACAGCCCGATGCTTATGGTTCTGGTCACTTCGAACTCGTTAATGAGTTAAACTAAATTAGGCATTTAGCTCGTAAGCTTAACGAGCAAAGCTCGTGAGCTGCGTGTTAGTACATAATAATAATAATAATAATAATAATAATAATAATAATAATAATAATAATAATAATAATAATAATATTATTATTATTATTATTATTATTATTATTATTATTATTATTATTATTATTATTATTATTATTATTATTATTATTATTATTATTATTATTATTATTATAATAGCTAGGATGTCATGCCTTGCATCTGGTACGATGTTCTTCCAGCTTGCAGTCATGCATACCTAGCTAGATGGCACACCTATAAGTATCAACCTGCAGTAATCGATCAATATATATATACTTGTACATATGTGTTTGTTATTGGTGTTTATCTATTACTATTTTCAAACATCTCATATGCACGGGCTATTAGGAACATGATTATCTATAGATTGAGAAAAAAAGGACAAATTAAACTTTGTTTTTTTCCTTTTCTTTTCAAATTGTACCAAAACAAATAAAACTCTATATATAGTACGAAATTTATGGTCTGAGAGTGTACACGAAATAATTAATGGAACATGTACGTACTTCTCCCTCTGTTACCCGTTGAAAATATAAAGCCTACAAGTTTTTATACACCGTGTAAAACTTTAATCATCAATTTTTTAAGTATATTATCAATTACTAAAAATTAAGATCATAAATAAAAAAATATTGATTTTTTAAAAAAATATGGGTGCTTTAATTATTTTTTGGACAGGGCAAGTACTTGTGGGGCTGCTGCACATACCTAAGGGCATAGCACAAAACATGTCAGGATCGACTCACGTAAGGATAGAGATTCTTGAAGACTTGAACAATACCAAAGAGTGAGAATTTTTAGGAATTATTTATCATAATTACTTAGGACTCCTTTAAAACACATGATTAAAAGCCAATAAATCATAAAAAAACACAAGAAAAATACGTGAATGGTCGTTTGATTTAGCCATAGGAAAAACATAAAAATTGGGTGAATGGTCGTTTGATTTAGCCGTAGGAAAAACACAGGAATTGATATGAGAGATATACTCAAAAGTAATTTAAATAAAATCTCTACAGGAATACCCATTCCATATGAAATTTAAATAAAATGGTAGAATTCAACTCTTTTATTTCAAAGGCTTTCATAAGATTTTTTTCTTTAGAATTAAAATCCACCAAATTTTCCTGTTATTCCTATAAATTAAAGGAGGCCTTAGTGGCTGGCTCGCTGCTCTTTGACACAATCGTTCCTAGGTATCTTTATGTTGTGCTTTCAATTATTACATATATGTTCTTAGGATTTCCTGTCATAGTAGACTGTATACACTATTACAAAAACACCCGATGAAGACAACACTATAGGTGCTTGAACAGCTAAAATCGATACCAATAGACTTTTTCCCACTTTCACTTTCCTCTCCACTACGCCTCTCCCCCTCCCCTCCCACCGCACCTCCTCACCTCCTTGCCCCTTCCCACCAGCCACTCATGGAGGATCAGATCCGGCGCCACTTCCCTCCTTTCTGTCCCTCCCCACTAGTCGCTGGGGCCAGTCGGATCCGTAACCGCCCCTCCCCACCAGTCGCTCGGGGGCAATCGAATCCAACACCTCCCTCTCCAGCGCTGCTCCTTCGGCCTCCACTCCTGTCCGGCACCCCCCCTCCCCTCTCCGACTTCAGCCCCAGCCACCTCCCCTACCTCATTGGAGAGGAGGGGGAGGGGGGAGCGGGAAGAGGTGGCGCAAGTGGCAGATGGATGTTTTAATTTGTGGTGTTGTGTGATTTATTAATCAAATTCTTTGATTTGTTGTGCTATGTGAATCAATTGCTTTGATTTTTTGTGGTGCTGGGTGATTTGTATGGATGTTTTGATTTGTGGTGTTGTGTGAGTTGTGCAGGTGATGGATTCGTGATGGATGGATGGTGATACATGGATGTGGAATGCATGGGGAGCTGCTCGAATCGAGCTGATGCACAAGCCGACTTTTTTTATTACTGTAACCTCAAAGCCTATGGTGGGGGTTTCCCAACCGACATCCATCGTTGTTTCTGTAGTAGTGATACCTAAGTTATACTACCACCGTTTAGTTTAGTTCCGATATCAACTCATGTGTGAGATTCTTGTCATATATACAGAAGAGAGAAATTTTAAGATCCTCTCTTTGTTCTGTGGTCATGAATAGTTGTGTATACTTTGTTTGAGTTTTCCATTTTGTGATCATGAGTTGGATGTTTATAGTGACTTATTTGTTGTATACTTTGTTAGAGTTTTCCATTTTGTGATCATGAGTATGATGTTTATAGTGACTTATTTGTTTTTTTTTTCAATTCCTTGACCTTTAGCTCTGTTGATTGGTAGCTTTCTCAGTTGTCAAGGGACATTTTAGAAATGTGGTGGAAAAGAACAGTTCGATGCTTATGGTTTGTATCAGTTCGAACTCGTTACTGAGTTAAACTAAATTAGGCTTTTAGCTCGTAAGCTTAACGAGCCAAGCTCGTGAGCTGAGTGTTAGTACAACATATCAGTATTTATTATCATTATTTTTATGTACTCAGTAGTGCTTCTTAACTAGTGTTTAGTTCTTTATTTTTATCAAACTATTTCTATTTATTTAGTTAGTGTTTATTATTACGTATATATAGGAGTATATAAAGGTAGTATAAAAGTATTAATGAGTGAGTTCATCATGTACTATTTTTATAACATAGCAAATTTAAAATTATAAAGGTGGTATAAATGAATTAATGAGCTAACGTGAGCCAAGCAGCTAGGCTTCTCATTAAGATAAATGAATTAATGAGCTAGGCTTTGCTGCTAGAATAACTAAACGATTTTTAATATATTTTTTCGACAATCAAGCTATGAGTAAAAAAAGATAATGAAACGTTAAAACTTATCAATATTTATCATGAAACAAATAAATGACACCCCTGTTTTAATGTGAAATAAATTTTTAGGGATAATGTTAAATATTATAAAAATGATAGATAGATCTGTGCAAATATTATGTAAATGATGTGAGGGGTGATAATTGGATATACTTGCATCTTGATTTATACAATTAAATAGATTGTAGATGATATATATTGCATGCTTGCATGAAGTTAAATAAATAGTTATTGCGAAAGGACCTATAGCCTAGTGGTTACTAGAGCCTCAGTAGCACCTTAGGTCCTAGGTTCGACTCCCCCTGGAAACGAATTTTCAAGGATTTAACGGCATTGTGCTTTCGGTAGAAGGCGACATACCCGTCGACAACGAGGCGCCTATGATGACTTTGTCATATGGGTAAAGTTTGCTTGCGTGCGTTCATAGGGGTGAGTGTGTCCGCGTTGTGCTGTGTAATTCGTAAAAAAAAAGTAAGGCCTTGTTTAGTCCCAACTTTTTCTTCAAACTTCCAATTTTTCCATCACATCGAAACTTTCCTACACACATAAACTTCTAACTTTTTTCTTTAAACTTTCAATTTTAGTCAAACTTCTAATTTTGGCGTGGAATTAAACACAGCCTAATTATTGCTAGTGGATGATGATGTGGCATGGTTGCATGTTAAGCTTTAGACTTAGTGGGTTATAATTTTATAGAAAGTATAGATAAGCTCAAACGAGCCGTTGGTATGTTATCCACCCCTATTGTTCAACAAATTAAAATTAAATGATAGCCTCTCCGATTATAAAATGTAGGTTGCATAGATAATATTTCCCATGACGATTTGCAAAAGTGACACATGGTTATTAGTCGTTTAAATGTACTAAAAAATGATTCAGTAATTAATTAAAATAATATAATTGATCATTTCCTCCTAGTAGTTTTAATTTCCGTCCGACGACAAACACTCTTTCCTCTATATATACCTCGTATGGCAACCTCTACCTTTTCTTTTTCTCTAGAAACGCAAATGGCTAGTAAATTCCTCAAATTACACGTATAAATTCATTTATAGGTTTATAAATATAATATAATCAACACGAGAAATATTGGAGACTGTATCCATATCTAGAAATATAATATTGAAGTCTATCATGAAATTTTTTTCCCAACCGACATTGTGCTTTGAATGTGTACTTTGCCGACTGATCTTCTATTAGGGATTTTGTGTCGTGGTGTAATGAAAAGTCTGTTTATAAAACTTGAGTGAGCGCGCGTGCGCTCAAATCTTACATCTCCTACATGTCAAGTCTTAAAAATATTTTTCATAAATATAGTAAAATATTTTAATTTTTTAAGGTTATAAGACGTTTCGACTTTGGTCAAAGTCATACTACTTTAACTTTGACTAACTACGTAGAATAACTTACTACGTAGAATAAAGTAGTAATATTTATAACACCAACATAGTTTCGTTAAATCTATAATTAAATAAATTTTCATAATATATTTTTTTAGGTTAAAAATATTACAACTTTTTTCTATAGAATTAGTCAAACTTAAAGTAGTTTGACTTTGATCAAAATCAAAACATTTTATAATCTGAAATGGAGGAAGAAGATGATATTGTTATATAGGTTAAGGTGATATATAACATTATTGTAGCTTATCGTTCTAAAATTTTTAATTTCTTCTGAAGTTCTAAAAATCGATGCCATGCATGTATCGATCACACCCGACGGGCACAAACAATTTCGACAAATTTGTGCAAGTTTTTCGTCGATCCACCGTCGGGCTCGAACGCCGAGACCACCATGGCCTGAAGCTCCCGTGCTCTAGCCCTCATCATCCGGGCCCCTTCCTCCTCTCCGGCGAGCAGCGACGCCACCGCCTCTGCCACGCGGCCGCGCGTCATCATCGACGGCTTGCCGCCGCCGTCGTTGTCGTCGTCGAACGCCATGCCGAAGCACCACAGGCGCGCCACGGCGCGTGCGTTCATGTGCTGGTCACCGAAGAATGGCCGGCACGCCATGGGCACGCCGCCGGACATCGCCTCCAGGACGGCTCCCCAGCCGGAGTGCGTCACGAACGCGCCCACCGCCGGGTGGCGCAGCACGGCGGCCTGCGGCGTCCACGCCACCACGAGCCCGGCGGCGGAGTCGCCGGCCTTGGTGGCGCGGTCGAGGAACTCCGGCGGGAGCAGCGGCCACGAGTCCTCCCGGAGTGACCAGAGGAATGGCGCGCCGCTGGCCTCGAGCCCCGCGGCCAGCTCGCGGAGCTCGTCCGGCGGCGGCGCGGCGACCGTGCCGAAGCTGACGTACGCGACGGAGCCCGCGGGGCGGCGCGCGAGCCACGCGAGGCAGCCGTGGGGGTCGTCGTCGTTGGCTTGCGTGGCGGCGGCGCCGGGGAGGAGGTGGTAGGGGCCGATGGGGAGGCAGTTGGGGAGCGCGTCGGCGAGGGCGGCGGAGACGTCCGGCGGGAAGAGGCCCGGGAACGCGTTGATCGCGACGGCGGTGGCGGCGCGTGGCAGCCGCCGCGCCACGCGGCCGAGGAGCATGGTCATGACGCGGTGCATGTCGCCGCCGACGCCGCCGCCGCCGAAGGGGAGGTCGCGGACGCGGTAGCTCCCGAGGCCAGGGTAGGAGGTGAGCAGCTCGTCGCCGCGAGCACCGTGGAGGTCGTCGTCGTCACCGATGTCCTCCCGGATCGCGTCGCCGACGATGTGCGCCAGGAGCGCGCACGGGCCACCCGTCCAGACGGCGACCCAGGGCACCCCAACCTCGGCGGCCATGGACATGAACGCGTCCCCGACCACGCAGCTCACCGCCACCCCGCCAGCCGCGTCGCCGGCCGCCTCCATCGCCCGCCTGAGCCCGCCACCCTCCGCAGCCTCGACGAACATCTCCATCCGGCGCCACACCGGCCACGTCTCCTCCTGATCACCATCCGTGGGCACCTCCACGAACCGCAGGTTGTTGTTCCCGGCGGGGACGACGGCGGTGGCGGGGAGGCGCGCGAGGGAGTCGGCGGTGGAGAGGAAGGAGAAGGTGGCGGAGGGCGCCGCCGTGGCGAGGGCGCGCGCGACGGCGAGGAGCTTGGGGGCGTGGGAGCTGAAGGGGAAAGCCACCACGGCGACGTGCGGGTGCGATGGCGACGACGGCATCGTGCGATCGTTCTTGCGGAAATAGGCAAGGTGACGAAGTGATATCGTTGTCTTCAGTCTTCTTTCGCGTCTCATCCATCAGACTATATATATTGCCACGGGAAGCGACTTCTACGACTGGATTTTTCACTTTGGGTCCCTTGTGAAAACTTATTTAGCAAGCAAGGCCCTAAACAAGTTTATTCCGTGATTGGATCCTTTCGCTGCGCCAACGCCATTGGCTCAGCGTCTCCGAAAAAGCTAATTCACTTATACGAAGGTGATGGTGCCAATGTCATTAGTACCGATGAGTTATTTATAAAATTATTTTGAAGAAGGACTTATTTGAAATAAATTCCAACCCGTCGGGTAGATATTACATACTGTGCAATGTTTTTTTATTTAGAAATGCGGTACAAACATAAGTGCTAATGACACGTGTGCACTCATTCCTATGAACCCACACATACATCCTTCTGCTATGAGTATCTTGAAAAAATTGAGCTAGTATATATTGAAATTAATAAATTCATTACAGACATCTCGCTGTTGACGAGTATATTGCCTACTATTGAAATAATAATTAGTTCTAAATACGAACATTTGTGTTAAATCTAGCTAGTACTATGGTGAAAATCTAGTACTATCATGCAAAGTTCAATTTGTTGTTTTTTTATTTATACAAGTCAAATTTAGTTTGTATATTTATGTAGCGTGATATAGGAGTACCATATATAGACTATCTTGGATTTATTTAAAAATATATATCACAAGGTCAAATGGCAAAATAGCTTTCCCGCGCTCCTCCACAAGTTATAGATTTCCTCAAATTGACGATTTTATGAAGACCACTGTAAAATTTGCTATCCTTTCGGTGAAAATATATTTGACATCTAGGATAAAATTTGTTTAAACTTTTCAAATTCTAGCAATCAATTTATATTAATTTAAGTTCATAAAATTCAATAAGCTTTAATATCTATGTTATTAGTATAATATTTTTTTAGACAAATCTCTACATATTGAGACCAGTTTTTGTCATTTAAGAAACCTTTTTATAATCAGAATTTCAAAAGTTTGATTAGAAGTGTCAAATATATCTACGACTAGAGGGAGTACACATTAGACTTATCGTTTCTCGATGATAGTGAAGCCAAGCTAGCTCACAAATTTTGACAATTTGACCCTTTACAGAAACTAATTTTATAAATGAATCGTGGCCAAAACTTATTTTAAAAATGACCCTTTTGTTCAGCGCTAAATCGTATGGTGCTGAACTTAGACACCTCAGCGCCAAATAGCACGGCGCTGAATGCACGTCGGCACGCCAACTCAGTCTCCCATCCGCAGTAGCATGGCATTTAACACCAGTTGACGTGGCGCTGAGGTTTCTAAGTTCAGTGCTATACGATTTGACGCTGAACAAAAGGATCATTTATGAAATAAGTTTTTGTCGTGATTTATTTATAAAATTAGTTTTTACAAAAGGTCAAACTGTTAAAATTTGTAAAGCTAGCTTCTGCAACTAAAGTATTTCTTGGATCTTATGTTTACGGTAATACTCGGTCAATAATTTCTCAAATGCTTAATTTATAAAAAAATATAAGTATACACAAATTTGCACTGATACACGTTTATTAGATCTTATAAACTTGTCTTAATATAAAACTAATATTTTGACTGAGTTGATCATGTACTACTCCCTCCGTTTCTTAATATAATATAGGGCGTGACTGTTGTAGTTGCAAAGACCAATAAAACCGTTTAAATAGCAGTTATGCTGATTAATTCTCTCCGTTCGAAGAGCGACGTTTCGGTTGTTGCGCAGTAGATACGCTAGCATTAACCACCATGCATGCAGCGTGCGCTCGACCTGCACTTTCCGCGCGAATAGCCAGCATGCATGCAGATGCATTTAAAAGCCAAACCGAGTCATCAGTTAATTCTGCATGCACCAGTACAGGAGCCGAGGATTACTCATCAATTCCTGCATGCACCGAGAAGCTGCCGCCTTGTATTATGGAACCCAGTTGAAAAGAAGTTACGCCCTGTATTTAGGAACGAAGAGAGTACTATTTAAGATCAGACGGAGCAGTAATTAGTGGCAAGTCAATTCAATGAGGGCATCACAATCAAGCCGACAGAGAAATTAATCGGTGAATGGAACCTGTGACATATTCTCGACAGCTAAGCATTTGTTTTGCGTATAGTAACTATTAGCTCGTGACATACTACTATGATACACGCATTATATGGCTACAATAATTGTACTTGAAAGCGTATGAGAGTGGGAAACCGAACCAGAAACAACACGTGTATGTCGCTATCAGTCCTATCCTTGATAGCCAAGTACAGTATGTCGCTCACCTCGAGTCTAGCTTAATTACCTTTTTTTTCCCCTTTAGTTAGTATACAACACATGTACAGCTCCTTGTTCATAAGATTTTGGATGGTTTCTCATGGGGAATAAGTGCATCTGAGGTTCTTAACTTGTCAACGAATCCGATTTTCATCCTTCAACAAAAAACCAGATATAATATGTCCATCAACTGTCAAGACCGATGTAATATAGGCTCATGATGGTTTGGATGGCGGTTTTAGCTGACGTGACGCCTACGTGGCTAATTTGACTTAGTCTTCATCTAACGTGGCATTAACGTGGCGCTTACATAGCAATTCGATCCGAAAAAATAATAGAACCCATGGGACCCACATGTCAGTTTTACACATAGTAATATTAAATAGTGGAGCCCACGTGGACCCCACATGCCATCCTCAATCCCCTCCTCTTCTTCCTCCTCTCTCCCATCTCCTGTCTTCATCTCTCTCTCCTCTCCTCCCTCCTTTCTCGCCGGCGGAGATAAGGATGGCGCGGCCTCCTCCACTCCCGCCCCTTGGGCCTACCAGCGGCGGCAGCCGCCCCTCTCCTCGTCGTCCACCGTGCCTGCCTCCGGCTGCTTCCACTGCAGGCGTATCTGAGCAAGAGGAGTATACTAGTAGCCTGCTCCATAGCATATGCGGTCTCGTAAATCACATGCGGGACTGGATTGTCAGCGCCATGGACGTAAGCATGCAGTCACAGTCAGGGGTGGACCCAAAGGGTGTGCCGGGTGGGCACCGCTATACCAAATACTCCCTCCGTCCCATAATATAAGGGATTTTGAGTTTTTACTTGCAACGTTTGCCCACTCGTCTTATTCAAAAAATTTTGAAATTATTAATTATTTTATTTGTGACTTACTTTATTATCCACAGTACTTTAAGCACAACTTTTTGTTTTTTATATTTGCAAAAAAAATTAAATAAGACGAGTGATCAAACGTTGCAAGCAAAAATTGAAAATCCCTTATATTGTAAGACGGAGGGAGTATTTCACAAAAAATTTAGGATGTACTATGAATTTGTTGGTCTAAATTTATTTGTTGGCTGCTTTGTTCATCAGCACTCAGCGTACGTCGTCGTACGTGAAAGTTGTAGCTGGTACGTACTTGCAACTCGAAAGTATGTGAAGTTGCAACTCGATCGTGGACGCCTTGCAGCAGCCGGACTGGATCGGGGACAGGTCGTCGGCGACCAGGGTTTTCAATTTCGAAATTGGATTTTATGCCGGGGTGACCGAAATTTCAAAAAATTTTGGCCGAAATTATTTGAAAGTCGGCGACAAACTACGCGTCTACGCGCACGTCAAGTTGCCGTCCTGCAGGCTCCTGCACATGACGGCGTCGGCGAGGCAGCTCCTAATCTTGTCCCAGTTCTTGCTGCTCCCCACGTGGCGCTGCAGCCACGTCGATTAGTCCCCGAGACGGTGCTCCCTGTACCCGCGGCCGGAGACGGCCTCGCCGGCGCCACGGTTGCGGTTGGTGACGGCAATGGGCCAGTGGCGAAGGCGGTGAAGCCGACGAGTGTGCAGCTCATGGCCGATACCTTTGCAGTCGCGCAGCGCGTATGTTGCTAGACATATATTACTACTTCCTTATCTGTTTCACAGTATAAATCATTCTAGTATTTTCCATATTCATATTGATGTTAATAAATCTAGATAGATAACATCAATATAAATGTGAAAAATACTAGAATGACTTACATTGTGAAACGGAGGGAGTAGCAACTAATCTGTTTCCCTAGTTCGGTATTCAGCTTCGATTTTGTGATGCTTGCATGCATATATGTGTTATGTGTCGCTGATACAATATTCCAAATAGAGGGGAAAAGGAATCTCTATCTCTTCTTTACTACTTAAAAAAAATAAAGATGTTTTCGCGGTCCGTCATCTGTCTTTGAGTCGGTTATAAAAATCGAAGATGTTTCCACGGTTCGTCATTCGTATTTAAGTAGGTTTTAATTTTATGTTTTGGTTTTAATCTATTTTGGTTCGTCATCCGCGTTTGAGTTGATTTTAATTTTATATTTTGGTTTTAATCTATGGCCCTGTTTAGTTTCAAAGTTTTTTTTTTCTAAACTTCCAACTTTTCATCACATTAAACCTTTCGTACACACAACTTTTCTATCACATTATACCAATTTTAACCAAACTTCCAAACTTCAACTAAACAGAGCGCATATCTCTTCTCTTCTCTGCATGAGAACGTGCACTTGATCATGAAGCTGACAGCTCCATTTGTTTATCCAAGGAGTGACGACAAGCTACACATTTGTTTATGTCGCCATGCACCCTATTGCCCCCCTCCTCTACCTTCCGCTCCAAGTGTTTCAAGCTAGCTACAGCGTGCGTGATGCATGCATGTGCCACTCGATCTGGACCTGGGACTCCGGGAGAGAGGGCTAGGGCCGAGTTTAGTTCTAAACTTTTCTACGCACATAGACTTTTAACTTTTTCATTATATCGTTCTAATTTCAATCAAACTTCTAATTTTAGCGTGGAACTAAACACACCGTAAACCACGTTAAAGTCGGTGCTGCTTTTTATTAATCCAAGGAGTTAAGCAGTGCCCATCCATTCTTTTGAAGCCATCTACTGTGCTGCATTTTTTTTTTTTGGTTAGGACTTGCAGCTTTCAATCCAATATAGATTATAGAGTACTCCCACATTGGTTTCTTTGCTTCTGTAGTGTAGAGAGACAAGCTGCCCGGCTCCCCTCATAAGTCACAACAGTGTATTGTTGGTGAAGAAAAGGATGCCTCGGATCAGGGCAGCTGAATTTCGGGGGGGCCTATGCTTTGTAGGAGTAGTACTTAGCCCTTAATTAATCATGTCAGTTAGGCCGCTGGCCAGTCTGATTTCATTCAGAGAAGGTCCAAATCAATCACAAATCAACATAAAGGCAACCGCTAACCTACCCCGTAAACAACTACTAGTACCGCCTACTTCTATTCGCAACATAGCGAATTTATAAAAATTGAAGATGTTTTTGTCAGTATTTTGATACGTCATCCGTATATAAGTTGGTTTTTAAGTTCGTTTGCTTTTCAAAATATGTATCCGTATTTGAATCGGTTTTTAAGGTCATTCACTTTTGATAATACAGAAGGAATCATATAAGAAATATATTTAAGAAAACTCGCATGCTAACTTGAGACGATCGGACTCCTAACTGCAACTCATGATTTTCTAAATACTCCGTATCCAAACGAACTCCCATAGTGAATTTCATCTTAACTAAACAATACAACAATAATAAGATTAAAATAGACTTCACCCGTTGTAACGCACGTGCTTTTTTTCTAGTAAAAAAAATAACCGAGGAGGGAGTACCTTACAAAGTTAGAAAGAATATTAGGACCCAATGGTGAAAGGTGGTTTTCTCTTAATCAGTTTTGATTATCTGATAGCAAAGGGTTGTTTAGGCATGCAGATTTGGGAATTGGGACGCTTTCTGCTCAGAAAACGGATCACAAATACATATCTTTATCCTAATATGGTTCCGTATTCAGCTTCAATATATTTCGTGTGGTTCAATAGGTGATCGATCCCTTCCTTCATAAGAAGAGCCAAGCTGCCCCTTTCCATCCAAATTCACCACAGGTCGATCGATCGAACGGCAACATGGCCGAGCGCTTCGCGTTTAGTAAACTGGCCTCCCATCTTTCCCCATCGCCTTCCTCGTCCAGTTAACAACATCACGTACCCTCGTGTCCCGTGCCACCGAGGTATTTAACTACTCCCCTTAATTCATTCTATATATTGTAAATCACTTTAATTTTATTACAAGTTAAAATTACCCCTCCATTGCAGTATATCCAATCGCTTTAATTTCATTAGAAATCAAAACTATCTACTAACTTATAACAATATTAAACTTGGTTTCGTTAAATCCTCCATAGAATATGTATCGACAATGGATATGTTTGTTACGGTAAATATTTGAATGCCATAGATTCGGTTAAAGTTAAAAATGTTTTGACTTAGGCCTTGTTTAGTTCTCAATTTTTTTTCCAAAAACGTCACATCTAATCTTTAGGCATATGTATGGAGCATTTAATATAGATAAAAGAAAACTAATTACACAGTTTGCATGGAAATCACGAGACGAATCTTTTAAGCCTAATTAGTCCATGATTAGCCATAAGTGCTACAGTAACATATATGTGCTAATGACGGATTAATTAGGCTTAATAAATTCGTCTCATGGTTTTAAGGCGTGTTATGAAATTAGTTTTTTCATTCGTGTTCGAAAACTCCTTCCGACATCCTGTCAAACTTCCGATGTGACACCCAAAAATTTTCTTTTCGCGAGCTAAACACACCCTTATTATGATACTTCCTCCGTTTCATAGTCCACTTTCATATATATGTTAATGAATCTAGACATATATTCATTAATATCTATATGAATGTGGACAATGCTATAAAATCTTATAACCTGAAACGGATGGAGTAGAACTTTAAAAAAATCCTACAAGGGAATAGACGATTACACTATTGCAACCTCGATAAAAAAGTTATATTACTGCAAATGAAGACCATTTATTTTGATAGATTATTATATACCAGGACAAACATGTTTGGCTACTCTACTGCAGCTGTGGCGCAACCTCTGTGCAGAGTATTTATGCTTCCTATAAAGTTATAATCACTAACTTTAAAGCTCAACATACAACCATAGCACATTATCATCTACTAGCAATAATTACATAATTAACCTCATACAAGCATGTAACATCATTTATATTTTTTTTAATTCTACAAATCAACATACAAGTATATTCAATCATTATTTCTCACATCACTTTCATAATATTTTAACAAATCAATCTATTATTTTATAATATTTAACATATATACTTATTAATATATTGCACATTAAAACGTAAGTATTGTTTATTTATTTCATTTTAAGTACTGATAAACCCTGACATTTCTTTTTCCTTTTACTCCTAGCTCGATTATACATTGTGCATGGCACTTTGGTCAAACGAAACAAAGAGCAACCACAAAAGTTCAGGCAGTTCAAAATGCTCCATATGTTCAAGCAAAAACCAATGTGGTGATTCAAATTCAAATTAGGTGGACCCGGCAAAATTCAAATTAGATGAAATTCAGATGAACCAACGTTGTGTTCAAGCATACTATGATGAAGAGGTGGCTTGTTTTGTTAGCTTCTTAATTCCCTTATACATCTTGACTTACCCTTAATATATATAGACTGTAGAGCTCTCTATAATTAATAGTAATGTTATAAGGTTGAAAAGCCTTAAGTGATATTCACATGCTGAGACTTTTGTTCTATATTATTGTTACAGGCCTACAAAAGTGATATATTTTATTTTGTTCTCTCCGTCCTTTAATGGAAGGGATCTTGGTTTGGCCATACCTCTAATTCTGAAAATAATTACGAAGATGCCATTAGCTCATGTGATTTTTGATAAAAAAAATGTTTTAGAAGGGACAATCGCTAACCTCCTCTCCAGTAAAACAATTAAAAGATTCAGCATTAAGGATGTGTGAATGTGTGATCCGTTGCCTAGAGTTAATTTTATAAATTGATTATCCGAGAAGCAATGAGCAGAACGTTCATGTAAGATTTGAGATGATTTCATTCCAAACTGAAGCATATGTCAGCCATCAATTGAGTGGCCTCACAAAGGATATATAATTTGCAAAGCCTAGCAAACTATGCCCATTGCCCAGCATCAAACAGCCCACACCAAGGCCCAGTAAGAAACCATTGCTTGAAGGTGTGATGATGGTTGTACTTGTATAACTATATTTGACTGAATTTTTCCAGAGGTCATGGTCATGTGCTTTGAAATTCTTACAGGGGTTACTTCCCTCCCATTTGATTTGCAAATGTTTGCTTCGAGTCTTGCACTCTTGCTTCCATTTGCTTCGCACATGTTTGTTTGCTTGGAAAAAAGTTTCAGCACATGTTTAAGAATGAAGACCATTGAACTCGACTATGATGTATGCATATGTAAGCTATCAGCCTATCACATGTTTTGTCTACCATTCCATTCCAAAACATAGTTATTTCTTTCTAACACTATGAATAGCGACGTATTTGGGACGGAGAGAATACTTGTTAGTATGAAATAGTATATATTTACTTAGTACCTCTTAATTTCTATTTGCAAAATTATTAGCAGCATGCATTAGACATTCTTTAGGAAGGAAAAAAAAAGAAAGTTTTTTTGTCACATGCTCAAAGCAAGTTGGATAATCGTTTTCTTTAATTTGATACTCCTACTAATTTGGAAAAGGAAAATTGGAATCCGTCTCATCTTCGCTTGCTCTCTTCTCTTCTCCGAGGTGCCAAACATATCCGTCCCTTTCCCTCTCCTCAGCTTCGCGTCAATTCCAGAGATCAAAACCCTAGCCAACCCCTCCTCCTCCTCCTCTTCCTCGCGATCCACCGGCGATGGCCTCCGCCCTCGGGGCTCAGGTACGCTGCCGCTCCCGCCGCACGATTCCCGGCTTTTCCTGCATCCTGTGGCGCTAACTTTCGCTTTCTGTGGTGTCCTGCAGGCGTCTGTCGCGGCGCCCATCGGTGCGGGCGGCTACGGGAGGAGTTCCTCGAGCAAGGTGCGTGGGGGTGAATCTTGTGACTGATTTCTGCCTCTAGAGATTGCGTTTTAGGGGCTCTCGTTGAGGAATCTCGTGGTTCGATCTGGTCTGGCACTGTAGAAAATTAGTTGCTGGAAGGGATAAGTTTCAAATTGTGCTCCTATAAATTTGGGGGGTTTGCAGCTAGTTTTTGTTTCGCGTGTAGTACTTTCTAGCATGTGGAAATCAGTCTCGCACAGATTCTGTCCAGCAGCAGTGGCTCTTGAAATGGCACATTCACAGTATACTCTGCAAGTATAAATAAATTAATTGTATTGTGATGATTTATGTGGTGAAATATCAATTCTAGATGAGTTTTATGTCGCCCTGAAGACTGGCTATATGGGCACTTGGCCTGTCTTAGATTAGCTAAGCTGCCACCTTCCTGCCTGCTTGGAGTTTGGCATCAATATCTCCTACCTGGTGTTGGGTCAGTTACTGCCAAAAACTGGTACATCAGTCCTTGAATGGGAACCATGTGCTATGTGCACGAATTTATTTTGAGAATTGCTACAACAAACAAATTGTTGTCTGGCATGCACTCTTCCTTTTCCAAAACCTGCCTAGGAAAGTATAGGATTTATCATGTGAGAAATGGAGGATGAGGACATTGTAGCAACACATATAGTTGCATTGTTCTTGGTTGAGTGTGGACTCTCTTATTTTGCTTCCATGAGAATTTTTATAGTTGTTGCAATGTGGTTATACTGGTAATCCTGTATTTAACAAAAGACTTGTTATGTTCAGGGTAGCAATACTGTTAACTTCTGCAACAAATCATGGATTGGAACCACATTAGCATGGGAAAGCAAGGCCCTAAAATCAAGGCATATGAACAAGATCTTTTCCATGTCCGTTCAACAAGCAAGCAAAAGCAAAGTTGCTGTAAAACCTCTGGAATTGGATAATGCGAAGGAGCCACCCCTTAACTTATACAAACCAAAGGAGCCTTACACAGCCACAATTGTCTCAGTCGAAAGGCTTGTAGGCCCTAAAGCTCCTGGTGAAACATGCCATATTGTTATTGATCATGGTGGCAATGTTCCATACTGGGAAGGACAAAGTTATGGTGTCATTCCTCCAGTAAGTAATTTGGACTTGTTCTTGCTCAACATAATGCAATATTTTTTAAGTTTTGGTTTTGTTTAGGTTTGTCATCATCTTGTCTAGAAGTGAAAGTTTATTATACGCTTTCCTGGAATTTCAACCTCTTGCTTATTATCAAATAATTTGCCATTGGGTCCATCATTGCTGTAGATAAAAGATAGAGGTATGAAATATGTAGGCACTGTAAAAACTGATGGTAATCCTACTCATTTTCTCTTAGCAAGAGATATGAAATATGTACTGTATACCTTTCTTCTTAAACAGTTCTAAAAGAACGACCCAAATTTAATTGGCACCTATATTCCTTAACAATACCAAGTACCAAGCTTGCTTTCCTGTATCATGCTGCATCCATTCATCCTGAATTCTCCTTTTCCCTTTTAATCTTCATGTTAATTTTCCACCAGGGAGAGAACCCGAAGAAACCTGGTTCCCCAAATACTGTCCGGCTCTATTCTATTGCATCTACTAGGTACGGTGATTCTTTTGATGGAAAGACTGCCAGTTTGTGTGTTCGTCGTGCTGTTTATTATGATCCTGAAACTGGAAAAGAAGACCCCACAAAGAAAGGTATCTGCAGTAATTTCCTATGCGACTCTAAACCAGGCGACAAAGTTCAGATAACAGGTATCGTGCTCCTTTCAGATGGCATATAAATATCATTCTTATATGTTCCAACGATAAACAATAGCCCCTAACTGAAAATTTAGGCTTTTAACCTTTTTTTCTTATCTGAAGTTCACATCTGTGATGCAATGTTTTTTTCTGAAATCTTTTGGATGGGTATGTATAGAGGGCATATTAGCTTATAAGCTTTCTGAAAGATGTGGCTGGAGAAAATATTAGCTTATAAGCTTTCTGAAAGATGTGGTTGTTGGAGAAAACAATCTGAAGAAGAGATGTCTTTCAATATTATTATGACTTGTTTTGTAACTTATGGCTTGCATGTGGTATTCCAGCCTCAAGCTTATCACTGAAGTTACTCTTCACATGCAGGCCCCTCAGGCAAAATCATGCTTCTACCTGAGGATGATCCAAATGCAACCCATATCATGATTGCTACTGGCACTGGTGTTGCTCCCTACCGTGGCTATCTACGTCGTATGTTCATGGAGGATGTCCCAAGTTTCAAGTTTGGTGGTCTGGCTTGGCTATTTCTAGGTGTTGCTAACACTGATAGCCTTCTGTATGATGAAGAGTTCACAAACTACCTTCAGCAGTATCCAGACAATTTCAGGTTCGTGGACCCTTTTATGCTTTTTGCTTAACATCTTGTCTTGGTCTATCCAGTATTTCAGTGACATGGTTGAGAAAGATGTAGTCTAGCTTTGCGTTGATTGATCTGGTTGTATTTGATGCCTGACTGAAGTTAAAAGGTGAGTAGCTGACTGATTCTTTTGTGAACTAACCTGAATTTCATTGACTTTGCAGGTATGATAAAGCACTAAGTAGGGAACAGAAGAATAAGAATGGTGGAAAGATGTATGTGCAGGACAAGATTGAAGAGTACAGCGATGAAATTTTTAAACTTTTGGATGGCGGTGCACATATCTACTTTTGTGGTTTGAAGGGTATGATGCCAGGGATCCAGGACACACTCAAGAGAGTAGCTGAGCAAAGAGGTGAGAGTTGGGAGCAGAAGCTGTCGCAGCTCAAAAAGAACAAACAATGGCACGTGGAGGTTTACTAAGTTACTAAAAAGCACGGGCTGTGATTTTGTGATTGTTTTGCAGCGAGTTGAAACATAAAACAGTAAAAAGCGATGATTCTCGTTGCATTGTAAAATTGTCAATCTTATTCATAAGCTTCTGCTTGACATGGTGAATAAAATGAAGCATATGCTAATTTTGACTTAGTATTGTGAAATCATACCAGCTTTTCATGGGCATCATGCATGATAAAAATGTGAAGTAGTGGGACTTTCTTACTGTTTGTTTCTCTCGTCTTCTCCTTTCACTTTATGTTATTGGTATTTAAGAGAAATAACTCTGACCAATTGTCTTCTAAATTTTTATGCTAGTATGTGCTGACAGAATTACAGTATAACAATATTTTTTTTCTGTTATAGTCAGTATTGGCAGCATGGATTCTAAACGTACAAATAAAAAAGAACGGGAAGGATTGCTAATGCATCATAGCATCCATCAAAATGTACAATATTCTGCTGAATGTTAGCCCAGCCAATTTCATCTCCCCAGCTGAATTCAGAAGTCAGCATTGTTACAGAAGGAAAATGGTAGTCTCAATATCTTGCATGATTTCTGCTTGATTTATGCATTCATGTTTATACTCCATATCTTGCATTCTCTCCCAAAGCATTTGCTGCTGTCTCCCAGCTAGTAACTGGCTAACTGCTCCATCCAACTTGCTGCCTTTTTGTCACTTTTCCCTTTTGCTGTTGTTTCATCTGATGCAACTGCATCTCCTGGTCTCCATGATCTGTAAAGGCTGTGCAGCTGGGAAACAGATCTTCCAGCAGGTTTCAGGTGTTCTGTTGCCTTTCTCTGCTTCCCTTTCTGTTTCTTCTCAAGCCACCCATGCAAAATATTGTTGAATGTTGACTGTGGCAGATTTACAGTAGAGCTACCTGTATCTGTAAAGGTTTCAAAACAAGTCTTTGGCTGTGCTTAGATACAGGGGTGTAAAGTTTTGGCGTGTCACATCGGATATACGGACACACATTTGAAGTATTAAACGTAGTCTAATAACAAAACAAATTACAGATTCTGCCTGTAAACTGCGAGACGAATTTATTGAACCTAATTAATCCGTCATCAACAATGTTTACTGTAGCACCACATTGTCAAATCATGGCGTAATTAGGCTTAAAAGATTCGTCTCGCGATTTACACGCAATCTGTGTAATTAGTTATTTTTTTTATTTATATTTAATACTCTATGTATGTGTCCAAACATTCGATGTGACATGGTGCAAAATTTTGCCAGGGGATCTAAACAGGCCCTTTGATTCAAACCCTCATAATAATTTGTTTATTTTCAGTAAGACTTGAAAATTTTGTTGAGAAATGGGAAAAAGCAGAAAGCTTGATGCAATTCCTATCTTAAAGCATACTAATTCTTAAGTAGATCCATTTGGTGAAGACCATGGTAGGCCGTGTTGGCAATAACAAAGGCACATGGTTGGCGATGCTACCCTTGTCTCACCTGCCAGTATGGACAATGCTATTTCTCTGGATCTACGACAGATCAGATCCAAATCCAGTATTTTAAGTAAATGTCCACTGAACCCGTAATTAAATATATAGAATCGCAATCAAAATTTCTCGATGGACTGCTATAAACCGTAAGTTCTGTTTTCCCTGGAGTCTTTTTTCACAGAAAATAAATTAAACCCGACATTTACATCCAAACCCTGAAGTCATGGATAGATGAGACTTGATTAAATGTGTCACCCGGAACATATATTCCCTCCATCTCAAGATATAAAACCAGTTTAAATTTGTAATATTATGATGTGTCACATCCGGTTAAAATCTTTTATTTTTAGAATAGACGGATCATTAAAATTGAGTAATAGTCAAAGTTAAAAATTGTTTTGATTAGTAGTGAAGTGTACTTGAGAATGGAGGAGTACCTAGGATACATGAGTTTCTCGGAAATATCACAACAAGTTTAATAGAAGCGTTCATTGCTAACTATTAGTCTATCTGAAAGCCAGCATATATATACGAGAACAACAACTTAAAAATTTTCTATGACATAGCGCAAAAAAAGGGTCCAACTCCAATCCCAAAAATGCCATGGAAAAGATGGCCACGTTAGGCGGGTTAGCGGGGGGGGGGGGGGAGAGAGGGGATCCATTCCTCTCTCACCCTCTCCCCATCTAACCCAACTGCGTGGATGGAGCGGGCACGTGTCGAGGGTCGAGCTCCCCCTTGACAGTCGGCCAGCGGTGTGGCACCGACGAGGTGCCTGTGCGTCGAATGTGCGTCGAAGGTTTTCGATGATGGCAGTAGCAGAGTATGCATGAGCTTAGTTCTTTGGAGGGACGAGAATTTGGGCGAAAGCTCTGCCTTCGGGCCGGCAACAACGACGTCTGCGGGTGCCGCTTTCCTCTTGGGGTGTTGCTGCTTTTTCTGGTCTTCCTCATTTACTTTCTTCAGATGAAAACCTTGTCTTGACTCCCCGGGACAGGTGACAACGGCATTCTTGATGTCATTCCTTTCTTAGAGGTGTCGTCTCGAAGATCTCTTATTTCGCTATCGCAGCGGGTGTTGTTGTAGACGCGCACGGTTTGGTTGTATTTTTTTTTCTATCTATAGTCTTTCAGGACTATAGATTTGTATTTTTCTCTTGCTATATTAATATTTAAAACTCGCATCGTCTTGTGCGGTTCATTTTTTTTAAAAAAAGCCATGGAAACGGCAGCTCGCGGACCAGCTGGATGCAACGCCCAGCCGCCCACTGCTGTCCCCTACTACTACTACGACCCGACCGATCCAACGGCCACCCTCAAACCCCGCACGAATCTCCACGCTCGCGCGCCCCATCCAGCTCAGCGCTCGATGCCCCCGCTTCCACCCGTCGCCCCAACTACTCCACCGATGGGTGGGCCCTGGCAACGTGGGACCCACCGCTCAGTGACCGGCCTACCCGCGTAGCCTTGTGCTACTACTCCCACTAGTCTACCACCCCCGCGCTCTCCGCCTCCCAACGCGCGCGGCATGAATATTTTATTCATTTATTATATTGTTATTATTACCCTTTTACCCCCCCGGCTTGCCACTGTGCGAGGTGACTCGACTCGTTCATCGCTTGCTTCGCTTGGCTGGCCGCGAGTGCTGCGTCATCCTCCTCGTCGTCTTCCTCCTCGCGATCGCTGCTCGATCGTCCACTGCTCCCAACCAAAAAATTTACCGCCTCTCTCTCTCTCTCCCACGATTCACCACCACGCGCGATCTCCTCCACTCCACTGCCGCTGCTGCCCCTTATCCCCAAACCCTACCGCTGCCGCCGCATCCTCCCTCCCTCCTCGCCCGCCCGAGGCCCGACGCTTGCGGTTGCAGGCTGCAGCGCAGAGGGAGGCGAGCGGCGAGCCCACGGCGACGAGGGGGGGAGCTCAGGCGGCTCCCGTCCATGGCGGGGATCCAACCCGTAAGCTGCTACTGTGTTTTCCGCTCACTGTGAATTTTATTTTATTTTATTTGTGCGTTCGGTTCGTTCATCCGAGGGTGCGGTGCGATTCGGGGGGTTGCGTTGCGCCTAGGTTGTGGTACTGGGGATGCTTCGCTCCGCTGCGATTGCGGAAGGGTTTTTTTTGGGATCGAGCTGCGGGAATCTGCTGGTTGGTTTGTGGGGGAGTTTGGAGGATGAGCAGAGTGAACCTGTGAACGAAACTGCCGTTAATTACTCTGCTTCACCGCACTGTGACCTGCGGTTACTTCCTGCATTTTTTTACTGCGGGTTTGCTTGGTATCTGCATTCTGCAATGAATAGAATGGAGTGGGCAGTGAAGTATCTAGTGTTTTTATTTTTATGTAGGGCTTGTGTTCTCTGTTAGTATTGTTAGCGTCGCCTGTTGCTTCGCATACTGCTCTGGCGGTGGAGCTCAGCTTCTCTGAACTGCTATTTTGCCAATCAGTATAGCCAGGCAAGCAGTATCTGATAGTTCTAGGAACCCTGTTTTTTTGTGTTCAATCACGACAAATGCCTGTGTGACCATGATTATCACACCCATTTCTGATGAAACCGCATTGATTGTTTTCGTAACAGATGCTATTGTGCTAAGCATGTTTCATCGAATTTTAAATCTATTTTATACCAAATCTTAAGTTTGAAAATGTTGCAGGTTTTGGATGAAAGAATGGACCCATTTACTGGTAGAATGATTATACCAGCCTCTACTTGCCAATCACGATGTACTGCTCACAATGATCTGTCCTTATTCAGCGGGCCATTGATTGACAGAACGTCTTCCTCTTCCATTAGTGAGTTTAACAGCGAGGCTGAAAAGTTCAACGATTTGGAAGTGCCGCCACCATGGTTGTTGTCCTACCATCGCAGCTGTGATATCGGGAGCAACTTTGAGGCGTTTGCAACTGTAATGTCACGGCTGCGCCAGCACTTGTTGGATGCAAATGTAGAGATTAATTACACGGAGTACTTAGATTTGATGAAACTGGAAGTTGAACAGCACCTTAATAAGCTCAAGGAGGATATAAGGTTCCTGAAAAGTCATAGCTTGGTCCATGATGGTGATGCAAATGGTTCATGCCCTATGGTGTGTCACCATGGGAAGCTTGTTGAGATATATGAGGGCTTCAATGGCTTCAAGCTACTTCTGGTTGTGGTGTTCCGGCAAATCAAGGAGATGCTGAGCTTGTTCAGTGCTTCAATTCGTGATCTCCAGTGGGAACACGAGATGCAATTAGAGGTCACCAGCATTATGATCGGAGACTGCATTAAAAGCCTTCAGGATGAGCTAGAGAGGAAGCTGTATGAACAAAGTTCCATAGTGAACACTCTGAAAAAGAATTGGAAGGAAACTGTTGTTCAGTGTGGTGCTATCCATGAAGAACTGATTGACATTGCTGATATGCTTTTACCTTCAGAAGAAGAATCAAATATTTTGAACAGCAAGCATGAACATTTTGGTAACTGGAGTAGCGGATGGAAACACAAATTCTTTGGAAAAAAGTCAGGGGAAGAACGCACGCCATCTTCCAATGAGGAAAACATCAGCTCCGCAACTCAGAAATCTGTATGTCCCAGAGAAGTTATTTCAGAAAAATCTGACTTCCGGCATCTGAAGGGTATGAATAGAGAAGAAATGATAAAGTACTTCAGATTTGAGATTAGTAAACTAAAAAGGCTACATGAATTGTCATTGCAAGAGAAAACCGAAGAGTTGTTCAAATTCAAACGGGAAAAGGGATCATTGGCTCTTAAGTATGATCCTGAATTCGAGCCTTTAAGAAAGAAAGTTCCTGAGATCATTTCAAGAGTTGATCAAATCATTTTGAATACCATAAATGCACCTACAGCTTTCAGCACTAATCAGGTACTTGAGGAAAGGGGCAGATTGACTGGTAGAATTGATTCACTATACTATGCAAACCAGAATCTTCGAGGTTTGCTTGCAGAAAAGATGAAGGATATTAAGGATTTATCACGCCAGGTTTCTGATGCCAGCAGGAAAATGTCATTTCAATTGTCACTGGAGGAGAAACTTTCAAGGCAGCTCCACAAAATTAAAGGGGACTATGAGGATCTACACATTCAAAGCACTATTAGAGATGAAGTGTATCAAACTGTTACAAAAAGAATGTTTGATGATTATAGGAACAGCCTGCAGGACCCTGCACTAACTTATCAAGAAAAAGTGACTTCACTTGAAGCTGCACTCTCAGAAAAGGAGACGGCGTTACGTTTAGCTAATGAAGAAAACCAGAGGTTAAAGGAGAAGTTGTCAAAACAAGAAAAGGAGCATGGCATCCAAAATAACCAGGACTATCCTGAGTTAATCAAACAAGACAATGAGGAAATGATACTCCGTGATATCGAGATGGAGCCTCATGTATCACCTAGGAGATCATATGCCATTTCTGAGCAGAATGCAGAGTATGAGGAGCTCATCAAACTGAAGCAAACTTTAGAGATTGCCTCAACTGCCTTGAAGGAAGTTGAATCAAACGAATTGGATTATAATGGTATTCTAGGTAAAAATGAGCAAGAAAAGCAACTAGAATTCATTTTGGTATCCATTATGGATTTGTCAAAAGAATTTGTGCAGATTGAAAATAAAATGTCAGGGGATATGAAGGGAAGTGAAAAAGGGTATGTCCATCTATCTTTTAGTCTTTCTAATTACTAATCTCCTGAGCTGCCTAGGCCCTGGTGCTCATTTTTCATGCAGAACATAGTAAAACAGCTCAATTAGGCTTTCTTTATGATAATATTATGCTTAGTGATCTGGTTTTATTGAAGATCCAAATATAGGTCATTGGTTGTGGAGACTAGCTGTACAATAATGCCTATAAAATCCTCATGATGACTGCAACTTGTGATATGGGATTGCTTCAATATATAATCGTAGTCTTCGTGCTAGCACAAACTAATATGAGTATTGTTGAATTCAGGCCTGAAATTCTGGGTTATCAATGCAAGCATATGGTACAGCAGGCACTTGTGCTAACAAAGAAGGGCCTTTGGTATAAGCAAATGCTAGACACAAGACGGTCTCAACTCCGAAAAGCTGAAGCTGAGGTATTTCTTTCCTAATATTTACTAACATGTGCTTTTTTTAAATCAGGAGTCAATCAAAGTTTCAAAAATGGTAATCCTTTTGTGTTCCATTTTCTTGACTATATAGTTCTATACAAAATGACTTTATTGATTGTAATGATCAACACTGCATGCTCACGCCTTTTTGTTTGTCAGCTCAGTGCAGTAACCTTTTATGTGCTTCTTAATTAGATTCCTTCTGTGCCTTGCTCTTTCTTTTAGTCTGATTATTGTTATCTCAGATTGTTCCCTTTTTCGTACACAACTCTTCGATATCCTACATGGCAGTGATCTTTCTGTGACCATTCTAAAGACTCAGTTACTGTTTAACATTAGGCTCTTTGTTTGAGTGTGCTTCCAATTGATTGAAATGACACTTTGTCATTCTAAGTTAATATTATAAATATTTAATTGATTTTATTTGATTCAGGTTGACGTTTTAGGAAATAAGGTTAGCACACTCTTAAGTCTTGTTCAAAAGATATACGTGACTCTCGAGCATTACTCTCCAGTATTTCAGCAATATCCTGGGGTAAGTTAAATTTCATGTGACCAATTCTAACTTTCTATTCTTCCATGGTTTGAATCATTTAATTTTTTTTTACTCCTTTGGTATTGGTGCTTCTTTAATTGCAATGACTACTTTTAGCTATTAAAGTTTATATATTCACAAAATTAATGTTAATATGCTTCCGTTTATATACATAGAATAGATCATTTATATTCACAAGAGTAATATAATTCATACTTGATGTTGTGTGTGCAGTTGCTAGATGCTTTCTTGAAGACATGCAAGCTTGTTGCAGGTTTAAGAAGTAAACAAAAAGAGGACTTACAGGATACATCTTAAGTTGGAGCAGCTAGGTAAGATGGTCTTTGTTATCCATCATTAGTATCCGCTTTTAGCACACGTGCGGGACTGGGAGTGGTTAAAGCAGTTAATCGTAACCGCATTCTCTAGACTCCACTTGGAAACAATCCCCATACTTTACGTATTGTTTGATAATACACGATGTATCAAAATTGCCTTGTTAAAACATCAGGAAGATGTATCGCGGTATTCTTTGGTCTTAGGACTCTTGACCTTAAGTCTCAAACAAACTTGTCTAATACTACCTCCATTTTTTAATATATGACGCCATTGACTTTTTAACAAACGTTTGACCATTTATCTTATTCAATTTTTTTGTGCAAATATAAAAAAATGTCATGCTTAAAGAACATTTGATGATAAATCAAGACACAATAAAATAAATGATAATTACATAATTTTTTTGAATAAGACAAATGGTCAAACGTATATCAAAAAGTCAATTATGTCATATATTAAAAAACGGAGGGAGTATTCAGTAATATTTATGTTTTTACTACAAAATTACTGTTTATGACAGGCATTAACAAGTGCTTACTATTAATCTACCCTTGATATTTTTACAGATAATTTAGCAATATTTAGTTGACAAAGGCTTTAGGATTTCTAGTAGGATAATTGATGCCATGGTGGAGGAGCAACATGTTTCAAGCATCTGAAATCTCTCCATGAGCAAATCGACCAAGCGAATATGCAGTCATTATGAAATCAAGGGGATTCGTCAGACTCAATTTTGGACCTCTAGGTGAAAGGCAGTTGCACCGCATGTAGGTATCTGATTTATAGTAATGTGTGTGTCTAAAGTCTAGATATCATGTGGGTGATGGGTGCAGTAACATCGTGGAAGCACATTGCCTCACTCCACAGATGGTTTTGTAGGTTTTCACCCTGTATGGTGTATATAGAAGTTAATACTGAATAGCCTTCTGATGCAGTGATTACGGTATGTTTAGTTCGTAATCGGTGAGGGTTGATAGCATTTTTGCCTGCAGCCTGTATAGAAATGATGTTTCTCTTAGTTGTATACTACACATACATCATATTGTAAGAATTCACAGCTTCGAAGTAAGTTATTATTTCCTTATTTTTTGGGGATTAATTATGAATACAACGGGATACTGTCATGTACAATATTTGCTGATTGTTTTGGAGGCAAATTCAAACTAAATTTTGTAATTTCTTTATAATTTGGAAACTGAAGTTGCGATTATTTGAAATATCAATTTCAATTGTGTTGTTGCTAGCTCGCCTGTCCAGTGGCCTAAATTATCAGGTAGCCTCATGCTCATGATGCAGTTGAAGGTTTTCTTGGGGGATAAATTTCACTCTAAAGTGTGCAGTTTTTTTGTAAACTGCAAAGTGAAAGTTGGGGTTCCTACACTATGTTGACACTAATGACATGCAAATTTTGGTCATCATTTTGCAGTTTTGGTCGAGCAATATTCAACATTTCAACTGCATAGTAAGTGATGTTGCTTTTCTTATTGCCCTTATCTGTTCATAGTCTTGTGCTGCCTGTGCGTGCTTCCTGTTAAAGTTTAGTTGATAAATTGAAATTTTCATTTGGAGCAAAACTCTGATTCTGGTTACACTAGTTTCTTTATCTTTCTCATGATGGTGCTTCTTGAAACGATTACAAATATCCAAAGCAACTTGGTGCAACAAATGCAAAACACTAATGTAATATACAAGAATATGATGGAAGATCACATTCTAGGCAACAGTCCGAGGACTACCGTCTAATTCACTTGCTACAGCATTCCATGCCAACAGTGCTGCACCAACAGCTGGTTCCACCTGCAGGTAAAGCAAATATAAGCTGATGAAGATCAATTTAAAGATTTCGTCATAGAATCCAAAAGATATGTGATGTAGCTGAATTTCTTCCATTTCTATTTGAATCGATCTTAAATTTTACTCAATCATTGAAGATAGAAGAATCTGAAGACGATATCTTGTAGTAGTCATTATGATCAAAGGCAAACTATTGGTGCAATTCTGCATTTGTGTTCACCTTGGGGTGTATTGGATAGGCTCCTGGATAAGTTTTGGTAACACAATCTATCACTTCTTTTCCAATGTCCCATCTCTTGTTTGCCATGAGAACTTTACCAACCATAACAAGAGGAAAATGGTCTTTTCCATCTGCAGAAGCATAAGCATCTTGTAACATGTTTTGTTGAGGTAAAGCCAATAAAGGAATTTTGAGGTATTATTTATTTTTTATGAGCACTAATTTTTCTCGTTTTCCGTTTTTATATCTGAAATTACTGATGACTTTTGTGCCAGGCCAGTTATGCATTTCAGTTAGAAAGAAATCCCTATCTCACCTTCACCGCTCAATTCAAGTCTTTGCACTACAGCCTTGACACTGGAAGCTAGTTCACCAACTGAATTGTGCAAGATCTTGTTTGCTACTTCATCACCAGCTTCAGCAGATTCTACCACAACCGGAAGAAGGTCAGCTATTCGCGCCCAAGATTGGTCTTCATATGTCCAGCTGTTGTGTGAAGAAGTAATCAGGTAAGTAAATGCTATCTATGCTCGGTGATTCATTTGCTGAAATATATTTCCTGTGATATTATACTCTTCAATTATCATCATTATGTGAAAGAAATGCCATACAAACATTTCAGCTTGATAACCAAGTTCTTTACACCATAACTTCACCAACCATAATCAAACTATTACTTATTTGTGAAGTATGTTCTTTTCATTTGCAGTAGAACCAACAAATTGAGTGAGCTAAAGGATTACCCTATCAATTCGTCTGGTGATGCGAGTCCAAGGAAGTCAAGGATGCTGTTTGTAAGCGCTGTTTCAGGACCCCGACCATCATAAGCCCTCACTACTGCTGTCAATGCCTGTGCTGAAATCCCATATGCACTGCACATGCCACACAGCTAGAATCAGTAATTGCCGCTGAACCAATTTCTGAAATAAACTTATGGCAGACACAATGAGCATGAATTAGTTTCACACAACCGAATTCCAGCCACATGGACCTTCACTAAAATGCAAACCTTTGAGCTATATTCATGTACATGAACTGGTTACTGACCTGCCCCAGTCACCCAGAACTGGTCCTGCACCTGCTGCTCTAGCTTCTCTGCCATCTCTGGTGAAACCATAGGCTATGGTCCCAGTTCCTGCGATCAACACACATCCATGGAGCTTTCCCATGGTTCCACTTGCTAATGCCGCTACCGCATCATTCTCTACAAACAACTTGACATGACTTGGAAATATCTCCCTAGGAAACAATAGGATTTGCTGCAATAAGGTTTTGTGAATAGCTGCAAATCTTTCCTGTTCTGTTAAATAAATAGTAATAAGTAGGCAAACCTCAGCCAGTCCAGCATTCTTTGTTGATCAATCGGGTGATTAACGCCAGCCACAGCCAAGCAGACAGCACATACATTTGATCGTCTCCGGCGTGCCTTGAGAAGAGCTTGAGCCATCACTCTTTCCAGTGTCTCCCTTGCCTTATCTTCTGAACATATCAAAGCAAAAAAAAGGACAAGTTCTGATTTTTGGCCTAGTTTTCAACACATTTCTACTACTTATCTACAGATCATCACCATGTGCATAACTATGATTCTATGAAAACCATGTAATACTGAAATTTTGAATAATTTTGTGGCCACAGAAACTTGTACAGGAGTCCTGGCATGCAGATGAGATGATACCTCCAACAGAGTTGTGGTTGGAGCAGCCGGCGACGGCGCGGGAGAGGACGGGGAGAGGGTCGGCGAAGGGCATGGCCGCCGGGATGCAGACGCAGACGGTGTTGCCGGCGCCGCCGTCGACGCCGAGGATGACGCTCCCCATGCGCGGGCTCTGGCTCTTCTCCATGTCCCATATCTCACCACCCGTCTTCGTGTACCTCTGCATCTCTGCGGACACCAACAGCAGCTAGTGCTAAACAAACAAACTGACACAGTGACAATGGAGAAGGATTTCTCTTGCTGTCACCTACAAGTCTGCAACTAGGTGAGTGCAACCTTATGGTTATATATATGTACGCGTTAGGTGCACCAACACATTGCATCATTGTGTGTGTGCGCTTCGTCGAGGAGAAAGGGACAGGGAAGAAGAAGATGATATAGGAAATATTAATGCTGCAATTGAAGGGCGGCTGTCCACACGCTCGTCCAATGGCGAGACGGCCGGGTTAATTTACATGTCTACGCCGGACGTCACAGGCTTCTAATCTCGATTTGTGGTTGTCGTTTTGCTACAGGATGTTACTGATCGGCGTTTCTCCGGCTGATGTTACCGACGGCAGTGGGTTAGCATACTCTCAATTATGGTATCAAATCCTGAATCTTGAGAGCACTTTTGGGTATATTTGCATTTACAACTGCATTCTTGTGCTTGGGTAAAAACTGACATCAATTTTTACATGTTAAACTGGCAAGTTCGAGTTTATATCTAAGTGTTGTTAATTTTCATCTGAAACAATACATGATCTTTGACTTTCTTTTTCTGAAACTTGCAACAGGTGACAAATTCAATGCTGGTTGGTTTTGCCTTTTGTATGTCCGAAGAGTTGCATGATTTGCATCAGTGACATGTCGAAACTGTGCTGCAGTCTAGCATGCATATGCTCCAGCTCTACTCACAAAAAAACTCAAACCATTTGTGCTCCAAATGGCATAGTATTTTGCTGTCAGAAACGGCATGCAGATTAGTTCAGCACTTCAACGCTAGTTTACTTTTCTTACGCCACATTGTCCAACACCCACTGCCATCGGTGACGGACAAAATTCCTCTTCCCAGAAGACCTGCCTTCCATTATTATCAAGACTCAAGAGGACTTAATCCGTATTATATGCAGCTGCAAGAATACATATAATCTCTGGTCGTTGTTACCATTGTTTTTGGATTGATCTCAACCCCTTGATGGCCTCTTCTCCTGCCAAATGGCTGATTTCCATGGCACCACAGCTACAGCCTATAAGAGTACAAGACATTCAGGAGGAGACAAGTGAGCTGATGACATTGGATAACTTTCTAGCTTGCGTCCAAACAAAAGCAGAGAAAACTAGCGTATCTTGAGCAATCTGTCAAGGAGTTAAATTAACCTCAAACTGATGTTGCTAGCAGCAGATATGTACTATCCAGATGGGGTTGCACTTTTGTACTGCATAGAGTATGATCAGATAATGTGTAGCCTCATGATCCAAATGGCTCCATCGGATCACAAAATGCCTATATCGGTCTGTTTGGTCTCACTCTCATCTTTAGGACTGGAGCACAATCTTTCAACCATCTTGCAGGATTGGAACACAGTCTTCCAACCATCTTGCAAGATCATGATTCAATTGTGGAACAAAAAAAAAACATATATATTCCTTTGGGTGAAGAGCTTATTTTTCTTTCTTGGCCCAAGACGCTCTCTCTGCTTTGCCTGGTTGGGCCACGGCCTACAGATAGGCATACAAACTTTGAATTGGGCCCAGCATGGCCCACCCCACCAAGGCACCAAGAGTCCAAGACGATTTGTACTAAAGGATTGAACTTTTTCTTGTTGAGGAAAAAAGAGTGCCACTGCCAGCTGAATTTTGATGAGTCAAACCCAAACGTTCCAACCTGACAAAGCAATAGGCAAAAGCAAGCTTCGCTAGTAGCTACTCCGGAGTAGTAGCAAAAGAATACGCTATATATGCTTGCAATTTGTTCTGAACAATTAATCGAATAAGATGCAGCATTTTCTCTTTTTTTCCATCTTTTTTTTGAACGACGACAGATTGTTAATAGTTGCATCGATCTGTAAGCTTTAATAATCCCCTATCTTTTCTTTCTTTCCTTCAAAAAGCACCTTTTAATTCCTTTCGCTCGCCTATCTTTCGCCCTGTCAACCCAGCTCAAGGAAGGGATGCACCAGCCTGCCTTTCCTTGCTGCGAGTCGCAGTCGCACGCTGGTCAAAATCGCGACACCCTGGCGCGCCGTGGCGCGCCCGTGCACGCACAAACACGCGCGGCGCGTACGCCACGCGTCGCGTCCGCCGCATCCGTCGCCACATGCAGGTGCAAACCAGCTTGCTTGCCTTCTTTCCTGCAGAATGATTCCTTGTCCTCCTTTGTGTCGGTGATGCTAATAAAAAATTTCAATTTACTACTAGTAGAAGTACTATACTACTACCGTTTTATAGAATATAAAACTGCAATTTAATACTGTTCTAAAATATAAAAAGAATTAGTGTTCAGTATAGTTATTAATAAAATAGGTAGAATTAAATGAGAGAAGATTCTGATTGGTTGATAAATAGATAGGTGAAAAACTGAATGATTGAGAGTGGTGATTGATTTAGAAAAGAATGTTGGTAGATAAATTGTTATAATTTATATTTTAAGATAACTTTAGTGTAAGAAGTTGTTATATTTAAAAACTAAGGGAGTACTACATTTTACCTTGTCTGTTGGCTTGGCAGTATTAACAATGCGGTGAAATAAACATATAGGACTATTATATTACTAGTTTTCTTTTTTTTAATACGCAAGGAGATTATATTACTAGTACTATTCATAAATTTGTTGATAAAAACAGCGACCAAAATCTGAAGCAACAAGAGACAGATAATGAGATAAACAAGTGCTGCTTCAGACAAAATCCGTAATTACTACTACTCCTGCTGCTGCTCTATACTTGATGGCTTGGTTGGTAACTCGAGGGAAGGGGATTGAGAGTTTACATGAGGTAATTGATAATGAGATTAAGATGGGAATTTGATTTTTAATCCCAATATCTTATTTGGTAGAGGTGATGGAAATTGATAGGGAGTTTAGTTGGAGATTGGTCATTAATAAAAACGGATGGCTGAGATTTGCTTAGACAAAGTAAAGGAGGAATTCCCTCCCAATTATCTGCCCCTACCCAGATATTGAAAAGGAGGGAGTTCCTTCCTCAATTCTCCATACCCATCTCACCAAAATTCCCATGTCTCCCAATCAAACAAAACAATTAATAACCTCATCCCTCTAAACTCCAAATCCCTCCTAAAAACTCCCTCCAACCAAACGGGCTGTGAGAGTTCACACAGAATCCAGAATCCAGCTAAGGCTGTGTTTAGATCCAAACTTCCAACTTTTTCCATCACATCAACCTGTCATACACACACAATTTTCAGTCACATCGTACCAATTTTAACCCAAACTTCCAACTTTGGAAGGAATAAACACAGCCTAATCTGCATAAGCTCCTACTTACTGTATCTGCATAAGCTGCACCGTACACCTCTGTACTTGTCTACTGTAACCTGACACACTTCTAACAGTAGTAACATGGATCGATCTCTGTCCATACTCCTGCAAATTATCCTAACACCATAATCTAATCAATCACCCACGACCCTGTGTCCCCCCATCAGATCAGATCATACTAATTCTCTGAAAGTTTCTCCCATTATGCATGCACATTGCACTGACAGTGAGTGACGAATGCTACTACAGCATTCATGGCTCGCTAGTACAGTACAGCTGCTGAGCTGCATCTGCAGGTGCATCTCCCCTAAAAAGAAAAATCATCTGCTACTAATAATAATCAGATTCAGACGCCGACTGAAATCCCACTGTTCGCGCTAGCGTCCATTCGGTGCAGAGACACCGGCATGTGCTCCCCAAGAATCCGCTCCATTTTCTTTTCCTCTCTTTTCTCTGGAACTCAGCTGATTGTTTTATTCTGAATTCTGATCAGAAAAAGGGCCAGAGCATCGTGTGATGATTGAGCTGTAAATGAGATCAAGCTGGATCGTATTCAGACAGCAGATTGGCGACTCTGATCTGATCACGCTTGCTATAGCTAGCTTGTGATGATTGATGATTGATGATTGATTGATTGATTGCCCGGTCCCAGAGCCTGCATTTGCATCAGCCAGCTTTCTTTGCTCGTCATGGACAGTGGCAGCAGCAGCTGCAGCAGACAGCCCACGCCTGGGTGCTCATGTGGGAGGTCGCTGCATATCTAGCAGAATCGCAATCCACATTTCCTCCTGCGGATATCTCTCCCTGTCTCCCTCCCTCCCCCTCCCAAATCCAATCAGTCAGCTCCTGCATCACATTGCTGAATTTATTATTAATGCTTGCTTGCTTGCAGCACTAGCATTCTACTGGTATTTGTTCTTCAGTTCTTCATGTCTCTCTGAACTTCTGAAGCTGAAGTGAGACTGTGCAGCCATTTCTTGTGCCAAACTGTCACTCTTCAGTTTCTTCTTCGCTGGTCTCCTCTTGTATTTATGGGTTTGGAGGTTTCTTGGTTTTGGCTCGGCTGCTGCGCGTGAATCGATTGGTGAGTTGGAGCCAAGAACCTGAAATCTTCCCATTTCTCCATTCTTCGCTTCGATTTCAGTATTTGTTTTCACCTGTCATATTCTTCCCTGTTCTTAATCTGTTCCATTGCCTTTCCCCTCTCGTGATTAACGACTCCGGGTTCATCGCCGCTCGCAGTTCGGATTTCTACACATCAAGGAGAAACAAATCTTTGGTGATTCAGCTAGGGTTTAATAGTCCTCCCAAGAATTGCGGCGCTGGAGGTTATCGAGGATTGCCCAAGATGAAGATGGAGTCTTTCGCTTGGTTGCTGTTGATTCTTGTTCTATTCTCGATTTTGGAGGATGTGCGAGGATCAAAATCCAAGCCGATCTTGATCAACTGCGGCTCAGATTCCACCACCGATGTTGATGGCAGGAGATGGATTGGGGATTCTTCTCCCAAGAACTTCACACTCAGCTTACCAGGAACAGTTGCCACAGCTCCAGATTCTGATGGGAAAGAGACATATGGAGATTTGTACAAGAATGCCCGGATCTTCAATGCATCCTCAAGCTACAAGTTCATCGTCGCCGCTGCCGGGAGCTACTTTCTCCGGCTCCATTTCAGTCAGCTACCCACTAATTTCAGCACCAAAGAATCACTCTTTGATGTTTCAGCAAATGGCCTGAAGCTGGTCTCCAAGTTCAATGTCCCTGCAGAGATCTACCTGAGGAACTCCAAGATCAACTCCACCAGCCGCGCCATCGTGAAGGAGTATCTTCTCAATGTCACCTCCAGTAACTTGGAGATTGAGTTCTCCCCCGATGCCGAATCGTTCGCCTTCATCAATGCCATGGAGATTGTGCCTGTGTCTGGCAACTCGGTTTTTGATTCGGTTAACAAGGTTGGTGGTTATGGCTTGAAGGGTCCTTTCAGTCTTGGGGATAGCGCGGTCGAGACGATGTATAGGATTTGTGTGGGGTGTGGCAAGATAGAGAGTAAGGAGGATCCTGGCTTGTGGAGGAAGTGGGATTCAGATGAAAATTTCATATTCTCTATGAGTGCTGCGCGCGCCATCTCCAATTCTTCCAATATAAGCTATGTGTCAAGTGATGATTCTACCTCGGCGCCTTTGAGGCTCTATGAAACTGCCAGGGTGACGACGGAGAGTTCAGTCATGGACAAGAAATTCAATGTGTCTTGGAGCTTTAATGTTGACCCTGATTTTGATTACTTGGTCCGGTTGCATTTCTGTGAGCTGGAGTATGACAAGGCGGAGCAGCGCAAGTTCAAGATTTACATAAACAACAAGACTGCTGCTGAGAACTATGACGTGTTTGCGAAAGCCGGGGGGAAGAACAAGGCTTTTCATGAGGACTTCCTTGATGCCGCCTCACCGCAGATGGACACTCTTTGGGTTCAGTTGGGATCTGAATCCTCAGCAGGTCCTGCAGCTACTGATGCACTTCTGAATGGCATGGAGATCTTTAAGGTCAGTCGGAATGGGAATCTTGCTCATCCAACTGTGAGGATTGGAGGTTTCAACAGTGCCATGGGGAAACCGAAACGTAGCCCCAAGTGGGTACTAATTGGTGCAGCTGCTGGTTTGGTGATTTTTGTGTCAATTGTTGGTGTTATTTTCGTATGTTTCTATCTGCGATGGAAGAAGAAGACTTCAGCTAACAAAACCAAGGATAATCCACCAGGTTGGAGGCCACTTGTGCTCCATGGTGCTACAACACCTGCAGCAAATTCCCGCTCCCCAACTCTTCGTGCAGCAGGTACGTTTGGGAGCAACAGGATGGGAAGGCAGTTCACTGTTGCAGAAATCAGAGAAGCCACCATGAACTTTGATGATTCCTTGGTGATCGGTGTTGGTGGTTTCGGCAAGGTCTACAAGGGAGAGATGGAAGATGGCAAGCTGGTGGCAATCAAGAGGGGGCATCCAGAGTCTCAGCAGGGTGTGAAGGAGTTTGAAACTGAGATCGAGATCCTCTCAAGACTGCGACACCGACACCTTGTGTCCTTGATTGGCTACTGTGATGAGCAAAATGAGATGATCTTAGTTTATGAGCACATGGCAAATGGTACCTTGAGGAGCCACCTTTATGGAACTGATCTTCCTGCTCTTACATGGAAGCAGAGGCTTGAAATATGTATCGGCGCAGCCCGGGGGCTTCACTACCTTCACACTGGACTTGACAGGGGTATAATCCACAGGGATGTCAAGACTACTAATATCTTGTTGGATGACAACTTTGTTGCAAAGATGGCAGATTTTGGTATCTCGAAAGATGGTCCACCTTTAGATCATACTCATGTTAGTACTGCTGTTAAGGGGAGTTTTGGTTACCTTGATCCAGAATATTATCGGAGGCAGCAGTTAACCCAAAGTTCAGATGTGTACTCTTTTGGCGTTGTGCTGTTTGAAGTTCTATGTGCTCGGCCAGTCATAAACCCGGCCTTGCCAAGAGATCAGATAAACCTTGCTGAGTGGGCTCTCAAGTGGCAAAAGCAGAAGTTACTTGAGACCATAATCGACCCTCGGTTAGAGGGAAATTACACACTGGAGTCCATCAGGAAATTCAGTGAGATAGCTGAAAAATGCCTTGCAGATGAAGGGAGAAGCCGGCCTTCGATTGGTGAAGTCCTGTGGCACCTAGAGAGTGCTTTGCAGTTGCATCAAGGTCTTCTGCAAAGTGCGAATACTGATGATTTATCACAGCCTGAACTGAAGCTCTCTGATGCATCCTGCAATTTAGGGTGCATCGAAGAAGTTGAGGAATCCTGCCGTGCAGGGTCCCAGGATGTGAATGAGGAATATGTGGATGTCAAAATTGAAGTTCCATGATAATGGAATGCTGGTCAAACTAGTGGCTTCAAGCAACTGAATAGGGTGAGTGTCAAATTAACAAAAATGTTTAGATGCACTGCTATCTAGTATTGTAACACCATATATGAGTGTCCCTACAATGTACTGAGATTATTTTGGTACAGTTAGGAGAAAACTCTCTTCATTTCTTTTGTACTTGTGCTGATGTACAAGTCTTTATGATGCAAATTTCATTGATTCTTTTGTAAAATTCTAGAGCCGTATGCAATGCAATACTGAGCATTAACTGGAGATGTGCTACAGAGTGAATGAGTTTTTCAGTTCTCTTATCAACTGTGCTCTGTATTGAGCTTCGTACGCAGTATTTTGCTACCCGTTAATGTTCAGTTAGATATTCTTTTAGCCAGTTGTTGTGAACCCCATATGTTTACTCTGCTTATTGAGCTTCTATATTATTGCACGAACACATAAGAACATTACTTACATAGTTTTATTCACTCAGAAGTTAATTCTAGGAACATAGCTGTACACAGATCCATTCTAGAATATGTAAACCTTGCATGGCACTACAATAAGTTGGTTTTCTTCAAAACAAGCTTCAAGAAGCCAAGGCACTAGTATTGTAGACAAGAAGAGCACCAGCCAGCAGAATTCCAGAAAGAGTGACTGCCCAGAGCAACAACCCTGTCTTTCCTGCATAAAGCAAGGGATGAAAATTATATGTGCTTTGGAAATTGATTTGTCTGATATTTTTTAAGTAGCGGTGAGCGCTAAAAAGTGTTTGGCCTTTTGGGATGGTTATATGTGCTTACCTCCAGTATAAACATCACCACTTGGTGACCATTCCTCTGGGTTATATATTGGGCTACAATAAATACAGCAAATATCCATTATGAAAATTGAAGGCAATAGGTGAGTTATGAATGTTATGCCTGCTGTTCTTCTATTCAGATGAATGTTTTACCTGTATCCATCAACATTAGCTCCATACTTGCTGGCAAACTGGTAGACCCCTTTCCCCTAATTACAATGGAAAAGAAATATAGTGATGAGCAAATTTTACTATTGTTGATTTTTCTCTAATTTTGCTTTCAACCTCAGCCCTGACCTTGATTGGCCTTCCGGACGCGTCAACACCGTCTTTCAGGTTCGGTCCTCCTCCAGGTCCTACATGTTAACATTACATATGTTCATATATAAAATAGTACTATGTTGATAGTGTCATCCATTAGAATCAGTGCTAGTTCTCTGATTTTTTTCTGAAATAGTTTGAGCCACTGAAAAGAATGGTGTGCTTGTGCATACATGAAACAAGGGGCAATTAAGCTACTAACTTGAAGCTTAACCTCTATGCAGTTTTTCCAGTGCTAAACTCTGTAGCGTGTACTAACCGAAAGGCTGAGAAGTCTGGATCTTCTTTGCTTTTTTGGCCATTACTCTGAACAAGGATGGCCTTGATGATGGTTGGATGGCTCGGATTCGCGTCTGTTCCAAAAATGGAGATGGAGATGGTTTTAGAGCACAAGAGGCCATGACAGAGGCTGCCATGCGTAAGATGCTATCTCTTACTCTCCAATTTGCTGTCAGTCTCTTTTCTTGGCTAAATTGTGTAAAAGTCTTGCTTTAAATATACGAAGGAAGGCTAGAAGTAGCAGCAACTGACTAAGCTTTGTTTGACAAGTGTCAGCTGCTATGTGGCATACTAGGCTCATGGACCACTACTTTGTGATCAGTCGTTGTCCTTCACATGACCAACTGAAGATGATAGAATTCGAAGGAAACGTCTAGCGCTGAGTGGATAATCCTGAGAATTTTCTTACTTGTTCCACTGATTGAGAAATTTCGTTTTGTTCTTCGTGAGTCAATTTCACCAAGTGCATTCATATCTGTTCCCCTTATTGGGAAATTTCTTTCGTTCTTTGTGTGTCAGTTTCACTGAGTTAAGTTCTGAAGATTATTTTAGCCGGGTTGGCCGAAGAAGAGGCCAACCAATTGTATTAAGTTTTGGGACAAAAAGAAACAGGAACTGTACATGTTGGCAACTGTACATCGACAGGATGCTGTCGAAAACGGAAGAAGCACAGGAAACCCCACAATTACAAGCTACTCATCCTGAAAAGGAAACAGGCCTGCTTCCTTCCAGATCATGAGCTCCTCCTTGACCCCTCCAAAGAGCTGTGTCGACAAGCATGATTACTGATCGAACACTCTTCAATTCTCACATAGATAAGCCAACATACTATGAAACAAAGCGAGTCAAATGCTTCCCGCCTATCAACACCGTTCTTTAAGTTCTGAAGATCATTTTCATTTCTGTCTGAAAGAACATATATTAATTTCTGTGAGATTTTTGCATATAGGGATAAAGTCTTAATCATTGTAAAGTAATCTGATTCTCACATAGATAATCTTATTTAAGAGGGTAATAAGTTTTATGGTGCAAACCCTCTTCTATTATGATGGAAATTTAGATTCTTAAGGCATGCATCCTGGATAGCCATCCTTTTTTTTTTTGAAGGTGATAGCCATCCTTTTTGTGGATATGCTGGATATCATTCTTATTATCTGAAAGAACATTTATCTTATTAGGTGTTGTTAAATCAGAAAATATTTTACTAAGACATTGTTAATATGCTTTTGTGGTTTTGTACTTTCACTGATGCAGAGTATGTTTTATAGCACCTAATTTATTATTACTATTATTGTAATACTGGAGAATGACATGTAATCCTTGGGGATATTTCGATGATGAAGATTTACTTGCACTCCATGGGGATCGGTACGCTACCAAAACTTTATTTTCCAATTTTTCAGAATAAGCTGTTCAACTGATTTAACTCTTATGATCCAACAGGTGCCAACTCTGTTGAACTCAAAATTATTTGTCCCTAGAGCCCAAGAACACTATGTTGCTCACTAAAACATCGTTGCATAACTTAGAATTAACATTACTCGGCCTTATTCATTACCACCGCTGGCAGTCAAGTCCAGTCCAGGTACATAACTGGTTACATTCCTAGTGAAGATTATATACATGGAAGCAGGCACAGCTTGGTCTGCTGCACTTAGCTAAGCCAGTGCACTAGTGTTGTAGACAAGAATAGCGCCGCCAACTAGAATTCCAGCAAGAGTGATTGCCCAGAGAAGTAAACCTGCCTTTCCTGGGAAAATCAAGAAATTTTGTAAGTACAAAATTTGTGAGAACAATAAACATCTCATGAGAAATTTAAATAAGCAGTGCGCAGTGTTAAAATTCTTGTTTCTCGAGTCCTTTTTTTTGCTTACCTCCAACATAGACATCACCAGTTGAAGACCATTCTTCTGGGGTATATATTGGGCTGTAACACGGTAGAAGCAACAAAATGTCATGGATAAGCTATGGATTTCACTGTTTTTACAGATAATAAATAGGTGTTTCTCTTTTCATCTCCCTCATCTAGATCTGTAAATTTCTCCTTTTATTCATTCACATGCTTTATCCCATTTTTACTTTGAAACTAATATTTTTATGAGTTACTATATATTATTATTTGTGCATGGATCTCAAATATATTGTTCTTCATTGGATCGGTAACATTTACCTGTACCCATCAACATTTGCTCCATACTTGTTGGAAAACTGGTAAAGACCCTTTCCCTGATTAAATTTGAAAAATTTAATGGTGAAAAATAACCATTTTGTCTGATATATATGCTTGTCTGAGCTTATAGCCTTATACTGACCTTGGCTACCCTTCCAGATGCATCAACACCTTCCTTGAACACCACTCCTCCAGCAGGCCCTAGATGGTGGCATACCATAACTTTGTGAGAAGGTAAACTAATTTAGAGAAAAATGAATGGTAACAATCACAGTTCTATTCACTACCATTTATCACCTTTGCATGTAAAAAATAAGATAACCAGGAGACACTCATTGGTACCCATGAAACTGAGAAACCCATTTTCCATTTCATGTTTAAGCCAGTTGCTAATATATTAACTCTGAATTTTACAGCATGTACTGACCATAGGGCTGGGATGTCTGAATCTTCTTTGCTTTCTTGGCCACTATGATCAAAGATGGCCTTGCCATTGTCCCTTTCCCTCGAAGCTTCGAACGTTCTAGTAATGGAGATGCAGATGGTTTCAGAGCCAGAGAAGCCATGACAGAGGCAGCCATGTTTATGCAACAACACTCAACTGATCACTCACTCTATCTCTGAAATTAATGCAAATGATCTCTTATGCAGTTCATCATCAGATATCCATGGCTTTAAATACAGGAAGGCTTTCAGTAGCAGACAGTGAGTGACTATGATTTGTTAGTCAATTGTCAGTTGGATAGTAGCTATGATAATACTGTGTCATGGGGCCATGATCACGTGACAAGATCTTGTCTTTTACCTGGATGATTAGAGATGATGTACTGATGAAAATCTGAAGCAAGCACCTAGTTGGTTGGTTGATGGATAATCCTGGGGTTTCCTGCCCTGCTTAACTATTTTCCTGGTCGAGAAATTTCAGGTGTCAATTCTGATCATAGCGAGTTGTCTGGGGATCTTATCTCTAACAGAGCCAGCGAGTTGTCTGTAAACAGTATATTGATATATGCAGTTAATGTTACATATTTTCGTGGTAAAGGATGAATGGTGCTTTTTTTTTTTTGATATAGTTCAATTTATATGAACTGACTATTGTGTAGTAGGTATGAAAATATCAGTTTACCTAACAAGTTGTTATGTTTTTACTCCCAATAATATTATACCACAAATAAACGTACCTAACCTGATCATTTTACCTACATTATTTGATTCTCTCCCTGTAGCCTGATCGATCTAGCACTCCTTGCACCAAGCTCCCTTTTATTAAAAAAAGAGTAACTACTGAGTTTTGTTTTTGTCTAACATTGCCGGGACAGTAATTAAACAATAAAGTAAATTTTGTGCAGATTTTAGTATTTTACATTCCTGATCGAGCCTATTCGTGTACTAAGTATTCGTGTGCAATGCATGCATAAGCGTAACTCAACTTTGTATCGAAGAGAAAGAAACACGTAGTACGTTAATATGAAATTAAACGTAGGTCGGTGCATTACTAGTGGCACTGTGGGTAGCTTATCTTTTACTCCTAACCACTGTCCTTATTAATCCCTGCGTTATGGAAAATAAATCTTAACGAGTGGAGTACTCCCTCTGTTCTCATTTACTCCGATCCAATAAAAAAAATATCTCGAGGTATCGGTACCTCACGGTACCAAATTATTTCTGATCATTAAATCTAGTTAGACATAATGTGTATTGTTAGATCTAACAATTGGAAATGATTTGGTACCGTGAGGTACCAGTAACTCGAGATACTTTTCGTTGGACCGGAGCAAATCTCATCCATTCCTAACACCTTGAGCAGCAAAGTTGAAGTAGCGTTAGATCCAGACATGACGCCGTGATTGTTATATGATGTTATCTGATCCAGTTGTAGCTGCGGATGCCGGGAGAAGGAAGCAGAACTAGCACGACCAACCGCCACCAAGTGTTAGCATCTCATGCTGCCATGAGCATCCATGTACATGGAGGTAGGGGCGAAGTTAGTGCGAAATGGAGAGATGTATCACATGCTTGCTTTACTCTACTTTGGACCAAATTTAAGCTGATGCGGGTGTCTAAGTTGATCTTAAGGGGTGGTGGAAATAGAAAATAAACGAACTATAGCTAAAAATTTTCAAAACCGGATTCCTGGGCACTGTGTGGAGGGGAAAGGGCGGATATACTCAGGTACGGGTTCAAAATTCTAGTTTGTATGAAATTTTCAATTTTTTTTATGAATTTGATAATATTTTATTCAAATTTAATCAAATTTTATTCTAAATTTCAGTATATCGGCACCCTCCGATACAAATCCCAAAAATGAAAGATTGAACCCTGACCCTCGTGTGGTTTGAGCCAGTACTAATGACAAAGTTTGAGCAGAGAAGAATGCTTACAATTGGAATTATTAGGTTACATTTCTGTTGACATTTTTGGAGATTCCAAAGATGATTGAATTTTGACAAGTTCGAATTGATACTTTCTTCCTTTTCTTTGAAGAAGAAAAAAAAATAAAACTTTGATTGATCCGTACAAATGGGCCTTCGTGGGCCGTGCGCGCGCGACTGGGCGAGATCAAGCCCAAGTTCAAGGCCTTAGGGAGGTCGATCAGAGTTTTCTTCTCCGACCCTTCCCCTCTGGCATGGACGCATGGTGATACGCGCACGACGACAGCCGCCGGGTTCGCGGCCATGATCTCTGTCTGGCTCGCGCCCGCCCGGCGCACGCATCCGCTGATCTCGCCGCCGCAGGTGAACAACGCAGCCGTGCCGGCGAGCACGCCGACGCGCGCGTCATGGACACGGCCAAGTCCCTGAACAAGAACAGTTCGAGGTCGACATCGTCGGCCTCACTGCCTTCCCGTGGTCGCCTCGCCGGCGCCGGCGCCGGCCGATGACGACTGAGGACTGAATCCCCGGTGGAGGCCGTAGACTGTGGCGTCCGCGAGTCCGTTTCGGTGTTTCAAACTCCGAACCCCATTGACAGTGCCGGTTACCTCGCCATGGCCTCCCTTAGCTTGCTCACCTCACCGGTCACCGCACGCACCGACTTCCGACCAAGTTCCGGGCGCCATCATCCAATGCATGTGTGCAGTGTCAGTGTGCTGGTGAAGTGGTCCGTATACTCCGATCCCAAGGGGTCGGAGTCTTCTTCTCCGAACCCCCTTGCCACGTCAACGTAACTCCGGTTCATTGTTCGTCGACTCGCCGGAGCGCCGCCGCCCAATCCTGGCGGTCCGCTGCTTTGGCCGCTCTCCGGCGGTCGCACGCGCAGGAACACCCACAGGCATGCATGCATGGTGATCTGATCTGATCCCGTCCGCGAGCTACGACGAGAACGTTCTCGCCACGCCGCACGACAGCCGGTTCACGGCCATGCTCAGTCTCGCCGCTTTTGCCAGCCGCAGCGCGCGGGGCAAACGGACGCCATCTCGGACGCTACGCACGCCGCGTGCAGAGCGTCGGCGTGGCGACCGCGCGCATGGCCAGGCAGAGGGTGTGCAGATTAACCTGATCGATCCCCATTGGAAATTCTGAATGGCATGCAGATTCTGCAGTTCTTGTGGGAAAAAAAAAAGGAGCTCTTCTTCGAAAGGCGTTGTTGTTGTATTATTGGGAATGTGCTCTCAGAGACAGGCATGAACTGAATTACTGAAACCATACAAGGTTGAAGTAAAAAATGCCGTACTGTTCTTCAATTGCGTAAATGATCATGTTAGAGTAGATTTTTTTCTCTTTTTTTTTGAACAATGATGTTAGAGAAGAATATCATGGTGCATTAATTGTTTGTTTGATGCAGCACAAAAAGGTTCCAGAGCAATTACAGTCGTCAATAATCCAGATATGGCCACTATCTGTGGATTCCATTATTTCATCAAGTCTTGGTTAGATTAACTATGATTCAGATTTTTTGTTTTTTGGTACCTGAAGTAATCATATCAACCGAGAACTACTCCTACATCCCTCGTGAAACGCACATCTGTTACAGTGATGTACTAGTATATGATATATCCAACGCGATATTAAAAGGAGCTGGTTGCAACTTGCAAACAAAAATGTGCAGTATTTTATTCATTAGTTGACCTTATTAAAGTTTAATTTACTTTTTTTTTCTATAACTTGTTAAGATCGAATTTAACACTGCATATTTAAAGATGATATATCGTGCATTAATATATCTTGTTAACTTTCGTTATAAAAAAATAACGACTATTTCTGTGACATAAAGAAACGTGATCTGTACAAATAACACTGATCGATCTGTACAAAATGCATGCGCCCAACTTCAAGGCCTTGGGGAGGTCGGAGTTTTCTTCTCCGAAACCCCCTCCCGATCCACCACCTCACGTACACGCACAACGCGGCCACACCTCCTCTCTGGCGTACGGGAAGAAGCACCTTGGCATGGTGGTCCCGTCGGCCATCCTAACCATCAGCAAGCTACGACGTACGGACGTGTTCCCGCCACGCCGTACGCCGCGCACGACAGCCGGTCACTACCAGCAGATTCACGACCAACCCTGTAGGAGCGAAACCATCAGAAAAATTGGTTTTACCGTTAGAAAATGTATTCCTGTAGGTGAACCGTCAGAAATCGCCGATAGAAAAAAGGACCACGAGAAATTCAATTTTCCTATCAGGTAGAAAATTGCAACTGGCGTCAAGAAATGTTAATTGTGACGTGGACCCGTCAGGAAAAACCGTCGATCAGGCTCACGGCCATGATCGATCAGGCTCGCCGCGCGCTTTTGCCCGGCCGGCGCAACGTACGCAGCCACAGCGGCATGCATGGTCTCCCGCGGTGTAAGTCGGCGGCCGGCCCTAGCTAGCGCCCATGCATGCAAACCAGACGGAGTAGCAAACGCAGGATCGTTGGCGGCGAGGCAGAACGGCGACTGCATGCACACAACATCATCGGCGAGGTTGCCGGCCGGAGCTCGCGACGCCCCTACGGGATCGATGTCGCTGCCGAAGCCCAAGTGGTCCTTCATGGCTACCCTGATGGACCATGGTCATCCAATGCATGTGTACTGTGCTCATGTGACAAGGAAGGGGTAATTAACATAGCTCATCTGATTTTTAAATACGCGAATTGGCTTAGTGCTACACGCATTCTATACACGGTTGGCCGCCTAGCGCTATGTGATTCTTTTTTATAAAGTCGCAGTTAGCTTTGAGCTACGCGCATTATATTTTTAAGACGTGGTTGCCCTAAAGCTCGCGTTATATTCTTAAGCCACGATTTGCCCAGAGCTACGTGCATCATATTTTATGAGTCGGTATATTACTCAGAGATTAACACCGCATATGCTATAAACTAATATTGAGTCACTTGGTTGGTTAAAATTATGGTTCTTACTATGTGCTTAGTTGTTTCCCAACTAAGCACATAGTTTGCTACAGTTATCAGGTACACCTATTCGATGTACCTGTTTATCTATCAATTCGATGCACCTATTTTTTTAATTTATTTGACGAGCCCTCCACAGTCTCTTTGCAAGATATCAAGATAAGGACTTAATAAGTAAACACTCGGGAGGCCTTCGCAAAGAAGATTGAAGCACTCAGTATCGGTCATGAACCATAGAGAAGACTGTAACTCGACTTCGAAGGTTTCGGAGGCTAATGTGGATAATATGGATACCGGATAACCACGTGACCTCCATATTCGACTAGAAATATAGGAGGTGAGCCGAAACCATGTATTATGTAATAGAGTAAGGTTCGGTTGTCATGTTGTCCTGTATTTAAAGACCTCTATACCACGACGAGGCCGACGGTGGCTTCGACTGTGTTCTTCCCCCCATTTTCCCAACCCACATCTCTTGTTTTCCGCGCACACTTTTCAAACTACTAAACGATGTGATTTATAAAAAAAAATTCTATATGAAAGTTTTTTTAAAAAAACATATTAATCCATTTTTTTTAAAAAATAGTTAATACTTAATTAATCATGCAATAATACGAGCTTTGTTTTGCATGTCAGGGAGAACCCCTCCTCCCCAACACAGCCTAGGGTGCTTCGACGTGGTAGGTGTGCAGTGATGGAGCTCTACGATCGAGGTTGGTGGCAGCTCAAGGATGTTGGTCGGGAGCTCAACAAGGTCAAGGTGCAATGTGCTAGCTGGATGAGGCCACTAGCGGCTCAGGAGCTCGACAAAGGGTGTGTTTAGTTCACATCAAAATTGAAAGTTTGATTGAAATTGGAACGATGTGATGGAAAAGTTGAAAATTTATGTGCGTAGAAAAATTTCGATGTGATAGAAAAGTTAAAAGTTTGAAGAAAAAGTTGGGAACTAAACCGGCGGCTTGGGAGCTCGACAAGGCTGATCATAAAGTCGTAACAGTTGGATCTGGGCCACCATCGTCAACCTTCTCGAGTACCCGTAGGCCGTAGTATGATGACCATCTTCGTCATCCATCGGTCCGGGCACCCGTCGTTAATTTGCTCCCAACGCGAGATGAAACATCCTTTCCCGACCAAAGCCAACAATGGAGTGAAGAGCTCAACCGCAATCTCAGTCAGATCTGACGCTACCTGGTGAGAAGTCTCTCGAGAGCTTGTGAGAGAACAGGCTTCTACAGTAAAATCCCCCTCCCCGACCCCTTTTCCCCCCGATTCCGGTGGTTCGTCGCCGGCGAGGGCCGGAGGAGGGGTCAGGCCACCTTCCCGTACTAGTATAGAGTAGGTTAGGTCGGAGTTCTTCCGTAGTCAGGTCTTCCTGTAGCTCGGGTTTGTCCCTTTTGGAGTTTCGCCGGTGTTGCTTCATGGCGATCGGAGAAGACGATGGTGGCGGTGGTGTTTGTGGCCGTGGCTGTCCCAGTGTCGCTTTTAATCTGGACCGCAGCTGGCTTGCTCTCCACATCAAGGGTCTGCGCGGTGTCCGACGCAATCCCGGCTGCGTCGCTGAAGATGGACGGATCTGGGGCGTTTGGCGTCCTTTCCATGGCGACAAGGGCTTGCGGTGGTGGATCTGGTGCAGCTGGCCTCGGTTCATTGCTTGGCCAGAGCGATGGAGGTGGATGTGGTGTTTCTGGGCCGGCCGTCTCAGGCTCTCTGACAAGGACGGATGGTGTTGGCTGCAAGAGCTGCTGCTGCTGCTCCTGCTCGTTGGTGGGCTGAATGAGCTGCTCCAGCTTGTTAGTTGGTTGAATCTCCACATGCTTCTGCTGAAGCTCTTGGTGGCAAGCTTGTTGGTTGCTTATTGAAGCTCTCTACGGCAACATTATCCCTTCAATCTCCGGTGTTGCGTACCTCCGCCAAATCGTTACAAGACAGGGGTTCAGTCGCCGTTATCCTAATTCTTGCATGTTCAAGGCAAGTTGGAGTATGGAGACTTTCTTCAAATCTCCTTGCAGTAGTATTCAGGTTGAGGACTCCATTCGGGTTGAGTATAAACCGTCTAGTCGGCTCTTGTCGATAGGATTGTAGTCTATGCTCCTCAGATTCGATGGAGAACTCCTAGACAATATTTTGTTGAGTCCGGTGAAGCTTAAGAAAAATTCATGACTCAACAACAAACCTCGAATAGCGCCGTTTCCGTGGAGGCAGCCGAAGGGGTCACCGGTCTATCAAGCGGTGTGCGCGTCTTCAGTAGAGGCTCGTGGACGTGGTCGTCGCGGCATTGCCGCAGTCCCCTGTCGATCGCGTTCTTTACTGCTGTTTGGATTATCTTGGAGGATGTTTTTCTTAGTTCAGCTAGCTTTACCTTCTGAATGGATGGTGTTGTTCTTTGTCTTATCTTTTATGGCGATGTTTTGGGGATATCATTTCCTTTAAGCTCTGTCTGTAATCCTCACTATTTAAATAAATTTATGAGTTTTAAAAAAAACAGTCAGATCTGACGCCTGCTCCCTCCCGGCCCAACACCGTGGTAAGTACGTGATGGGGCCACCGGATACAACGGCTACAGTAGTGCTTAATTTCATCGCTAGCCACACCAACCAAGCTGTTTTTTCACTGGTGGCCATGTTTCCAAGTGTTAGAAGAAGATAACGACTACGGAAGAAAAATGGCTAGGTGCATTATATTTTGATCCCTGTGAAAAATTACAGAATTCCTTCCAATCGGTCGACCAGCTCGGGGGCAGCAGGATCGTGCGCTCTCCCCTAACGCGCACGTGTCTCCTCCTGGCCCCACCACGTATCTTCACCATATACTCCATTGCAACAAATCACCCACATATTTTGGAAACCCTTTATTAAGGGAATTTGTTTTATTTTTTTTCCACCAAGAATGTTTCACTTAATGTACACACATTGTTTCACTATGTATAGATCTAATATTGCAGTGAACAGAAACATTCTTTTGCAACAAATCACCCATTTGGAAACCCTCTATTAAGAGAATTCGTTTTATTTTTTGTTCCATAAAAAATGTTTCACCTAGTGTACTCATAATGTTTCACTATGTATACATCTAATGTTGCAGTGAACTGAAACATTCTTTTGTAACAAATCACCCACATATTTTGGAAACCCTCTATTAAGGGAACTCGTTTCATTTTTTTTCACCAAAAATATTTTACCTAGTGTACTTACAGTGAACTGAAACATTCATTCGCTATTTGCTGAAACATTGTTTTCATACAAGATGAAACAACACCCAATTTAAATGATTGAAATATTTTCTATCTACTCAGTGAAACAATTCCGATATACTTGGTGGAACATTGTGCAACATTTAAAAATAATTCAATAATAAGCTAAAAAAATTTCGTCGGAATATATCCATGTGTGGTCTTGTTTTAAAGATTTAATTGCAATGAATTTAATGGTGTAATCGAATCATGATTTGGATAAATAATTTAAGAGAAAAAATAGTTTCAAGTGGTTTTGCATGTATACGTGGCGCGCCCGATTCCCCCCCCCCCTCCATCGGGTGCCCGACGCGTAGGAGTCCCCGAAAAAATATGGTATAAACAAACTCCTTTAGGACGCCTCATAGGCTTAGGCCACATAATGGCACGTTTCGAATTTTATGGTATACCAATGGCACTGAGTCGATTTAACAAACAGTAACGTCATTTCTCCAAGACGACGAATTTGTAATGGCCCATATATTGCAACAGGTCCACATATGTAATTAGAGATGAGTAGCACAACCCATATCAATAGGGATAGATCATTAGTATGGATTGAGCATAAGTATGGATTGAGCATAAAAGAATATATCCAACCATTTTTTTATGACCCGAGTTCATGAGAGATAGAATCGATAGCGGCAGTATAATTTAACCAACATGAAATCGTGTACTCATTTTCTCCATGAAAAATATAAGGGTAAGGCAATGCTTATGGTTATTATGACAATAAGGATGGAACCCGTTACAGCTCGGAGCAATATTTATGATAATATCTACAATGGTTAAGTTTTTGGAAGAACATAAGATGGGTCCCGTTGAGTTCCACCAAAGGAAAAAAAGATCACTTCCTAACCACCCCATGCAAGGCAGCAAGCTAGAGAAATAGTCCGTGGACAATGAAAAAAATAATTTTATATTTCTTTCGGATGAACCTTGGGCCTAAGGTTCTTTTTGGTTGTATGAAGCTTAAGGTGTGCTTCCACAATGGCTAAAGTTACAACACTTAATGCTTAAGACTAACTTTTTGGTAGATTGTGGTTGCCCTAAGTATTTAGACTAAAATTTTATAGTATTCCTAGACTGATTCATATGATATCATCACTTTAATGATTTCAAAGCTAATCAGATGTTTCGAAATAAAATGTAAACGATCCAAAATTTAAAAATTGACAACTGAAGTGACTAAAAATAAATATTTTGATATAGAAATCCTAGTATTTGCTACTACTACATAGAAATCCTTATTTTCGAGTAATTAGTAGGCGTAGGCGGCAAAATCTTGAGCTAGTACCAGATTGATCCATTGTGGGTAGTAATTAAGGCCTTGTTTAGTTCCAAAAAATTTTACCCAAAAACATCACATCGACTCTTTGAACACATGTATGGAGTATTAAATATAGATAAAAAAACTAATTGTACAGTTTGCATAGAAATCAAGAGACAAATCTTTTGAACCTAATTAGTCCATGATTAGCCATAAGTGCTACAGTAATCCACATGTGCTAATGACAGATTAATTATACTTAATAAATTCGTCTCGCGGTTTCCATGTGAGTTATAAAATTAGTTTTTTCATTTGTGTCCGAAAACCCCTTTCGACATCCGGTCATACGTCTGATATGATCCAAAAATTTTCTTTTCGCGAACTAAATACACCCTAAAGATATGCAAATGATCGTGATTGAAGTGGCATATCAGAAAAAAAAACATGGATAATGGAGTAGACCAGCAGGTGAGGTATTTATGGCCACACCACACGGTCACACTCACAGGTCACATACACTAGAGTGACCTATTTTCGGAAACGGAATCTGTCAGTCGGAATTTTTTGGAAACGGAAACGGATTTGGAAATATTTTCTCGGAAACGGAATCGGAAATGATAAGGGCAGTTTCCGTCGGAACTCGGAACCCGTCGGAAACTTTCCAGAAATTTTCTCGGAATTTCCAGAATTCTTTCTAGGAATTTCCAGAAATCACAAAATAACCTGAATTCTTTTTTTAGCACTGAATAGTTAATACCATGGTGTTTGGCTATTATTTTTTTAAAATATTTGTTATACAAATCTAAAATTACATAAGAATATTGGGATTTATCAACAGCATTACTAATTTGTTTTATAGATTGTGTTTTGTGATGTACTGTTGATACCTAACAATTGGACTTATATGATTGTGTTTTATGATGAATTGTTGACCGTTAAGACTTGAGAATTGGGTTTATCAGTTAGAGGGGTTTTTTTATTCAAATTTCCGTTACCGTATTCACGCCGGTTCGTTTTCGCTCCGTTTTCGGTTTCGATAATATTCGATTCCGTTTTCGTATCCGGGGTTTTCGATTCCGATTTCGATTCCGAAAAAAATATGAAACGAAAACGATAAAGATGATTTCCGTCCGTTTTCGTACCGTTTTCACCCCTACACTAGAGGTACTAGTGTAGAGTAGGCACGCAGAAGTTTCAACTTTGCAGACGAGCAGTGAATTGTGCATCGATCTCTGTGGTATTACTTTGTACGAGTAGTATCGATCTTCTGTCGTACTGTACGATTGTATCGTAGTAACTCGTAAGTATGGATCGACTTTTGATCTATAGTAGTACCTACGGTGTGGCCTGGCTTCTTTGCGTTTCCGTCTGGAGTCTAGCTTGCCGACCCGTGATCAATTAGCACTTCACTTTTGTCAAAGTATTTCCGAATGTTTAGTTTTGGGCTGGGTTTAGTTCCAAATTTTTTCTTCAACCTTTCAACTTTTTAGAACATCAAAATTTTCCTACACATAAAAACTTCTAACTTTTCCATCACATCGTTCCAATTTTAATCAAACTTCTAATTTTGACGTGAACTAAGCACAACCTTGGTAGTACTAGTTAGTGTCTCAGATTTATAGTGCTAGTAAGTGTTCCATCCATTCAAAATCTTTTATATAATGGGATGGAGAAAGTATGCCGCTTGTCACAACCCAATGCAGGTGTTCTCCATGCAGCGTTACAAGAAGCTTTATGATCGCCATCATCGACTCATCCACCAAATGCCTAGATATAATTTAGGAGGCAGCAAACAGGCAGTACAACTCCGTTCCAGGATCGGCTCCACCAAATGCTTAGGGAGAAACTCAATTGGTTTAGGGTTAAGTCAGTTTGAAGTTGTTAGGGTTTGAGTATATTGTGCTAGCTCTAGCCGTATATAAAGCTGATGAGACAGACAAGGTTAGATTGATTTTTTTGTTAGCCAACTTAGGGATAAAAGGTGAATGATCGGGCTTCTGGCTCGGCCATGAGACGCGACTTGTGTCTCGCGGTTGATTCATGACGAATGTATAATTTCCTATTCTGATTAATGAATTCTCTTCCCCCCAAAAAAAGATTGATTTTCTTTTCCTCAGCCATGTCTCGCCCGGACACATACCGTCATAGCCCATGACAATGAAAGGAAACAGAGGTGCAGGAAGCGGTGTCGTCACCGATCTTGGTGCGCCCGCGTATATTTACATGGTTGCCAATAGCCGGCAACATGGCTTTACAGGATCATAACGACCTTGGCTAATCAGTATCTCTAACTAATCCTGATTACAATCATTATCTATCAGCTAAGATAAGATCGATACGGCCAGGTTGTTATGCTTACACATGATTATATCTAATACTCCCCCTCAATCACAACCTACCTAGATCGAGATTGTACTTAAAATTTTCAAGTTGTCTTACCGATAACGCCTTTGTAAATCCATCAGCCACTTGATCACCTGTAGGAGCAAACTCCACTTCAAGTAATTTTCGTTGCACTCTTTCACGTACAAAATGATAGTCAACCTCAATGTGCTTAGTTCTAGCATGGAAGACAGGGTTAGATGATAAATATTTAGCACCAAGATTATCATACCACAGTCGAGCCATTGGAGGACTTGGCACACTGAGTTCCTCTAACAGAGTTTGTATCCATATGATTTCTGCTGTAGCATTAGCCAAGGCCTTGTATTCTGATTTAGTACTAGACCTTGACATAGTAGCTTGTTTCTTTGCATTCCAGGAAACCAAATTATCCCCTAGAAATACTGCAAAACCTCCTGTAGATCTTCTATCATCTATATTTCCTACCTAGTCTGCATCTGAATATCCACTAACAAGCATAGACTTTGACTTACTAATCTTTAAACCAAGTTTAGTACACTGTTTTAAATACCTTAATATTCTCTTCACAGCAGCCCAATGAACTGTAGTAGGAGCATATAGAAACTGACATACCTTATTTACTGGAAAGGAAATGTCTGGTCTAGTCAGACTTAAGTACTGGAGTGCTCCTACTACACTTATGTAATTAGATGCATCATTGGGACCTAATAAATCTCCTTCATGCAAAGTGAGTTTCTCACTAGTTGACAAAGGTGTACTAACAGGTTTACAATCAGTCATACCAACTCGTCTTAGTAGATCAGTAACATATTTTTCCTGGGTTAGAACAATGCCACTAGATGCCTTGTTCATCTCTATGCCAAGAAAGTAGTGTAAGTCACCTAGATCCTTCAAGGCTAAATCCTTTTATAGGTCCTTCAGCAGAGCTGGAACCGCATCTTGTCTCGAGCTAGCAACAATTATGTCATCAACATAAACAAGCACAAAAATTATCAGACCCCCTTTATTATAAAAGAATAGAGAAGTATCTGCCTTGGATCCTTGGAATCCAAGGTGTTGAAGCTTCTGACTTAACTTAGCATACCATGCTCTAGGTGTCTGTTTTAAACCATAGAGAGCTTTATCAAACTTACACACATAGTCAAGGATGGACCTTATCTTCATACCTAAGTGGTTGTTTTATGTATACCTCTTCTTCAAGAATACCATGAAGGAATACCTAGTTACGTCTACAAAGTATCTAGTTACTAGTTGAGCTGTACTGCTACTAGCAAAATTATAAAAATTAGACAAAAACAAATACAAAATTAAATACTCTTCACTTAAAATTGTAATTGCTGACAAAAATTACAAAACCAAAAATTTAGCAAGACTTTTGATATGTAGCAAAATCTAATCTACCATCAGCTTGATTAATATATAGCAAATTAAAAATTGACAAAAAAAAAGAAGACAAAACTACACAAACTCCTGATCCCCACTTTAATTGGAATTGGAAATAATTAGTGAACTGTTATAACAAAACTTATAACAAATAGCCCACATTCACAGTGCTCACAAAAATGACAAAAAATGACAAAACTAGGAAGTGAACTGTTATAACAAAACTTATAACAAATAGCCCACATTCACAGTGCTCACAAAAATGACAAAACTAGGAATAAGTATGGCTAGTAGATGACAGAACAACCTACTGCTAGAAGTCAGGAAATCTCCTTTAGAGATTATGAGCTGCTTATAGAAAATTAAACAAACCAAAATACCTGCTAGCTGAAAATTAAACTAAAGAAACTAAGTACTCATCATTGAGAACAAAACTTACAAATATATTTCTAACAAAACTAAGTACCTACTCTTCACTTCAAATTCTAATGTGATGCATGCTAATTTCTAACATTCCTAACAAAACTATGTTATCTTTATTGCTAACCAGTTTACTGTTTAGTAGCTTATATGGTGCCCTGACAAGGTAAATTAACCAAAATTCTACTGCAGATAAATTAGACAAACTACATACAGAGTGCAAAATTTATCCCTTAAGTTCACAAACATTAATTTGTTTGCTTCAAAAAGGAATATTTCTCTGAGAAAACACAAAACTGTTTCTAACAATTCTATGTCTTCGCACAATTTATAACAAAAAAAAAACGTTGCTCATTTCCATCCTACATCAATGAACTAAAATTCAGTGAAAATAGAACATAATCTTAACTTTAGATGGCCAGATCCGTTGGCGGGGAGGACGGGGACAGTGGGGAGGGACAGGAAGAGAAAGGGAGAGGGCGGGGTGGCGAGACAAAGAGGGGGAGGGGAAGAGGACGCACAGCGGCCACTTGCATCCTCACCTCTGCGCATCTTCCTCCCCTCCGGCCGACCGGATCCGCCGGCGGGGAGCCGATGACAGAGCTGGGAGGAAGAGGGAAAGGGGAGGGAGGAGGAGAGGGAGAGGGCGAGGTGGTGAGACAGAAAGGGGGAGACGAAGAGGATGTACGGCGGCGACTCGCATGCTCACCCTGGCGCATCTTCCTCCCTCCAGCCAGGAGGATCCGCCGGCGGGGAGAGCGACGGCGATGGCGGCGACTCACGTGAGGAGGCGAAGAGACTGGCGAGGGGAACGCGTTGGGTTCCCATTCGGATCCGGAATAAAACAGGTGCACACCCAAAACTAGCTGTTTGCCCGGTAACGTTTGCACAAATCTTGGAACAATCTGATGGCCAGGAATTCAGCTGATAAAACAAAATTTTTCAGCAGGGTGTTGTATAGCAAATCCCCATATAAGCCAACATTTGTAGACAAGCCCATACTGCTGGGCTCCGTGCAGACGTGAGCCGGCACAATTGTCCGCTTCTCCGTGTGCTTCCATGGTACTCCCTCCGTTCATCTTATAAAATGTTTTGACTTTGGTCAAAATCTTTTGACTTTGGTTAAAGTCAAACTTAATTATCTAAGTTTGACTAATTTTTTTTAAGAGAAAAGTAGTAATATTCTTAACCCAAGATAAATATATTATGAAAATTTATTCAATTATAAATTTAATGAAACTATGTTGATGTTGTAAATATTACTATTTTTTTCTACAGAGTTAGTCAAACTTATAATAGTTTGACTTTGACTTGAAACGGAGGGAGTCACTACTACAAAAATGGTATTTTCAGGCAGCCAAAAACTATTTTTCCCGGCGGGAGAGTAGTCCGTCTAGAAGCAATCGCATGCGAAAATCATCGATTTTCGCAAGCGGCCCAGTCACCCGCCAGTGAAAATCATCTCTATAAAAAAAAAAATCGCGGCCACCCCCACCCGCGCCCCTACCCACCTCCGGCCGATCTAGGGTTAGGGTTGGGGGGCGCTGCCGCCGCCAGGAGGTGAGGGGAAGTGGGGATCTGCAGGGGCGCTGCCGCCACCACCGCCCTGCCCCGGCATCCCTCCGGGCGGATCTGGAGGGAGGGGAACCGCTGCCGCCACCACCGCCCTCCCCCGGCCTCCCTTCGGCCGGATCCGGAGGGAGGGGAACCGCCGCCGCCGCCACCTTGCCTCCCCCCTTCGGCCAGATTTGGGAGGGAGGGGAGGGGAGCCGTGCCGACCGCGTGCCTCGCCTCATCGTCGACGGTTCCCCCCGCCGCCGGTCGCTGAGGGAGTTGAGGGAGAGAGAGTTGAGGAAGAGGAGAGGTGAGGGAGAGCCGGAGAGGAGGAGAGAACTGAGAACTTAGAAAAAAAAATCCCCTCATGTGTCGAGTCTATTTATATTCCACACTAATTTTCGCAGGCAGACAACCAGTTTCAACCCGGTTTACATTTTTTTAGGCGGCTATTTCGCTCCGATGATCATACCCGCCTGCAAAAAAAAAATACTCAACGTTGGCAAAAATGTTTTTTCTAGTAGAGAGTAGATTCTAGATTGGGTATCCACATCAAGAACATAATTCAGAAAACATAATACACAATTGTACTCCAATTTAATTTTACTGTGTTATGTTTCTTCTTCTTTCAATCAGCTTCTGACCAGCGAAGTCCTTTTGTACTGGAAATTGTCAGGTAATCTCTACTGCGTGTGTTCCCTAATCGAAGGATGTAGCAGTGCATGTGTATTCAGTTGTAGTCTCAAACAAAAATATCGAGCATTTGATGTAGATCAGAATTGTACTAATATGAACAAAATTTGTGTCCCATAATAAATCAAAGAATTTAAATTTGATTTATTTGGAACTATTTTACTTACAAAATCTACTTATAAAAACTAATTGTACTACACAACAATAATGTACTATATATGCAAACTACATAAAATTCAATTTTCAAAATTATTCTGTAGCTTTAGGTAATCCCTTTACTACCATCATTAAGGCTGTGTTCGGCTCCTGGGTTGAGAACTAATACTCCGCGCATGTAAAACGGATCAACTCATTGGCACATAATTAATTAGATATTAGTTATTTGTATATAAAAAACAGATTAATATAATTTTTTAAAAGCAAGTTTCTTATAGAAAAGTTTTGCAAACAACGTACCGTACCGTTTAATAGTTTGAAAAGCGCGCTCGTGAAAAAAAGGATGTGAGTTTGAGAAAGTGAACAAAACAACTCAGCCTAATGGTTCTTAAAATAATAAAAATATTTTCCCTCGCTGTTTGTCAAGTTTAATTTATATTAGAGCCACAAGCAACTTGTCTGGTTTAATTTATATTGATTTTTTAAGTGCGTTGCATATGCACGATTAATTACTAGTTCTCTTAAACTTCCATTCCTTCTCTCAATTTCCAACCAATCAAACAAACCTAAATGTAAACGAACCAAACCGTATGGCACGTACGGCACGGGCTTGCAAAACAACATGAGGGAGAACGACATCGGTGCTGCCGCCTATCGACCTCGTGCTCAAGGCATCGTGCAAGCGTTGTGGCTCATCGTCATGAGGGTGCTGCTTCCGCCAGCCACACCACGATCGATGATCGATGTTTTGCTGTTCTCTTTGCACGCGCGTGCATAGGAGTATACAACACCGTCTTGGTGGATACCACCGCAGAGAAGGAACTCTCGATCGATCAGCATATTCACCGTCGATCGGTTTGGCATAACACAATGATAAGGAAGTGGATTTTTATCCCCTACCCTTGTATTTCATGTCGTCCAAAAAATTAAAAAAAAATTGATATCATAGATCAATGTGAAATATGTCATTCCATAGACATACAAAATACAAATTCAACCTAAATAAATAGAAACAAAAACAACAAATTTTATTGTGAATAGTACACAGTCAAATCTATCATTTTTTTTTACTTGTCTATGTTGAATTTGATTTTTCTGTGAAACTGACATATTTCGTATTGATCAATTATACCTTTTTTTTAAAAAAAACAGCTATTTAAATTACA